AAGGTGGCTCTGGGGGGTCTCAGGGGGCTCTGGGGGGTTAAGATGGGCACCCAGGTGGCACTGGGGGTCGTAAGGTGGCTCTGGGGGTCTCAAGGTGGGTCTGGGGGGTTTCAAGGTGGCTCTGAGAGGTCCCAAGGTGGCTCTGGGGGTCTCAAAGTGGCTCTGGGGGTCTCAAGTGACACTGGGGGTCTCAAGGTGGCAAGGGGGGGTCCCAAGGTGGCTCTGGGGGTCTCAAGGTGGGTCTGGGGGGGTCTCAAGGTGGCACAGGGGGTCCCAAGGTGGCTCTGGGGGTCTCAAGGGGGCTCCGGGGGTCACAAGGTGACACTGGGGGTCCCAAGGTGGCTCTGGGGGGTCTCAAGGGGGCTCTGGGGTGTTAAGATGGGCACCCAGGTGGCACTGTGGCCCTAAAGGTGGCTCTGGGGTTCCCTCGGTGGCGTTAAGGTGGGCACCCAGGTGGCTCTGGGGCTCCCAAGGTGGCTCTGGGGTCCCGAGGTGTCACAGGGGGGTGCCCAGGAGCCCAGCTCACCGCCTCCCGGCGCCTCCTCTCCTGCTCCCGCTTGCGGGCCATCTCGCGCTGCTGGTCAGCATGGACTGCGACGACTGCGGCTGCGAGCTCTGCGCCTGCGGGGCGGAGGCGGCTGCGGGCGGCACCTGCTGCTGCTGCTGCTGCTGCTGCTGCTGCTGTTGTTGCTGCTGCTGCTGCTGTTGCTGCTGTTGCTGCTGCTGCTGCTGCTGCTGCTGCTCCTGGCGTCGCCGCACCTCCTCGTGCACCCGGCGCGCCTGCTCCATGGCGTCCTCGTCCTCACGGCTCCTGCAACGGCCCGGGTCACAGCTCCGTGAGGGCAACGGCGCCCTGCAACCCCTTCTGCCCCAGGCAGGGGGCTGACGGCCTCATGTCGTCCTTGCCTGCTCCTCACCTCCCCCTCTCCTTCTCCTCACCTCCTCCTCTCTTCCTCCCCACCTCCATCCTCTCCTCCTCACCTCCATTCCTCTACTCTGCTCTCCTACTCCTCACCTCCATCCTCACCTCCTCCTCACCTCCATCCTCTCCTCCTCACCCCCTCCTCTCCCTGCTCCTCACCTCCATCCTCACCTCCTCCTCACCCCATCCTCTCCTTCTCCTCTCCTCCTCTCCTTCTCCTCACCCCATCCTCTCCTTCTCCTCTCCTCTCCTGCTCCTCACCTCCTCTCCTCCTCCTCTCCTTCTCCTCTCCTCACACCTCCATCCTCTCCTCCTCACCTCCTCCTCTCCTTCTCCTCTCCTGCTCCTCACCTCCATCCTCATCTCCTCCCCACCTCCATCCTCACCTCCATCCTCTCCTCCTCTCCTACTCCTCACCTTCTCTCCTGCTCCTCTCCTGCTCCCCACCTCCATCCTCTCCTCCTCACCTCCTCCCCACCTCCATCCTCTTCTCCTCACCTCCTCCCCACCTCCATCCTCACCTCCTCTCCTCCTCACCTCCATCCTCTCCTACTCCTCACCTTCTCTCCTGCTCCTCTCCTCCCCACCTCCATCCTCTCCTCCTCTCCTCCCCACCTCCATCCTCTCCTCCTCTCCTCCCCACCTCCATCCTCTCCTCCTCTCCTCCCCACCTCCATCCTCTCCTACTCCTCTCCTCCTCTCCTGCTCCTCTCCTGCTCCCCACCTCCATCCTCTCCTCACCTCCTCCCCACCTCCATCCTCTCCTACTCCTCACCTTCTCTCCTGCTCCTCTCCTGCTCCCCACCTCCATCCTCTCCTCCTCCCCTCCTCACCTCATCCTCTCCTGCTCCCGTCTCAGCCGTTCCTTCTCCCTCTCCACCTGCTCCGCCTGAGCTTTCAGCGCCTTCTCGCGCTCCTCCCTTCTCCCTCGCCGCCCTCTTGAACTGCTCGAAGCTGTCGCTGGACGACTTGGCGGTGGAGGACGGCGTGGTGGGATGCTTCTGCACCAGGCTGGCCCAAGAGCCCATGTTCTTGATTTTTAGGGTCCTGCGGCAAGGAGGAATTGGCCATGGGGAGGGGTGAGGGCCGATCGTCGGTCAGCGCCAAGAATAAGAAGGGTCTCGGAAGGTAAAGGAGGGAGAGGCTCCTTTCTGAGCCCCTCTGATGGCAGACTGGCATTCTGACGTGATGGAGGGATGAAAGGGGGGGTGGAGGGTCCTTAAAGGTCACAGGACCATCAGATGGGTTGGGGTTGGGTTGGGAGAGTCCTTAAAGATCACAGAACTACAAAAATGGGTTGGAGATGGGTTGGAAGGGTCCTTAAATATCACAGGACCATGAGATGGGTTGGGGTTGGGTTGGGAGGGTCCTTAAAGGTCACAGGGACCATGGAACCATACAATGGGTTGGGTTGGAAGGGTCCTTAATGATCACAGAACCATCAGATGGGTTGGAGTCGGGTTGGGAGGGTCCTTAAGGTCACAGAACTACAGAATGGGGAGGTGTGGGAGGGTCCTCAAAGATCACAGGACCATGAGATGGGTTGGGGTCGGGTTGGGAGGGTCCTTAAAGGTCACAGGACCATCAGATGGGTTGGGGTTGGGTTGGGAGGGTCCTTAAAGATCGCAGAACTACAGAATGGCTTGGAGTTGGGTTGGGAGGGTCTTTGAAAGTCACAGATCTACAAAATGGGTTGGGGTTGGGTTGGGTGGGTCCTTAAAGGTCAAAGAACCATCAGATGGGTTGGGATTGGATTGGAAGGGTCCTTAAAGGTCAAAGAACCATGAAATGGGATTGGAAGGGTCCTTAAAGGTCAAAGAACCATCAGATGGGTTGGGGTTGGATTGGAAGGGTCCTTAAAGGTCAAAGAACCATCAGATGGGTTGGGATTGGATTGGAAGGGTCCTTAAAGGTCAAAGAACCATCAGATGGGTTGGGGTTGGATTGGAAGGGTCCTTAAAGGTCAAAGAACCGTGAAATGGGATTGGAAGGGTCCTTAAAGGTCAAAGAACCATCAGATGGGTTGGGGTTGGATTGGAAGGGTCCTTAAAGGTCAAAGAACCATCAGATGGGTTGGAGTTGGGTTGGGAGGGTCTTTGAAAGTCACAGATCTACAAAATGGGTTGGGGTTGGGTTGGGAGGGTCCTTAAAGATCACAGAACCATCAGATGGGTTGGGATTGGATTGGAAGGGTCCTTAAAGGTCAAAGAACCATGAAATGGGATTGGAAGGGTCCTTAAAGGTCAAAGAACCATCAGATGGGTTGGGGTTGGATTGGAAGGGTCCTTAAAGGTCAAAGAACCATGAAATGGGATTGGAAGGGTCCTTAAAGGTCACCGAACCATCAGATGGGTTGGGGTTGGGTTGGGAGGGTCCTTAAAGGTCAAAGAACCATCAGATGGGTTGGGGTTGGATTGGAAGGGTCCTTAAAGGTCAAAGAACCATGAGATGGGTTGGGGTTGGATTGGAAGGGTCCTTAAAGGTCAAAGAACCGTGAAATGGGATTGGAAGGGTCCTTAAAGGTCAAAGAACCATCAGATGGGTTGGGGTTGGATTGGAAGGGTCCTTAAAGGTCAAAGAACCATCAGATGGGTTGGAGTTGGGTTGGGAGGGTCTTTGAAAGTCACAGATCTACAAAATGGGTTGGGGTTGGGTTGGGAGGGTCCTTAAAGATCACAGAACCATCAGATGGGTTGGGATTGGATTGGAAGGGTCCTTAAAGGTCAAAGAACCATGAAATGGGATTGGAAGGGTCCTTAAAGGTCAAAGAACCATCAGATGGGTTGGGGTTGGATTGGAAGGGTCCTTAAAGGTCAAAGAACCATGAGATGGGATTGGAAGGGTCCTTAAAGGTCACCGAACCATCAGATGGGTTGGGGTTGGGTTGGGAGGGTCCTTAAAGGTCAAAGAACCATCAGATGGGTTGGGGTTGGATTGGGAGGGTCCTTAAAGGTCACCGAACCATCAGATGGGTTGGGGTTGGGTTGGGAGGGTCCTTAAAGGTCAAAGAACCATCAGATGGGTTGGGGTTGGGTTGGGAGGGTCCTTAAAGGTCACCGAACCACGAGATCGCATCACCGCTGGATTGAAAGGGGAGCTCAGAACCCCTCGCAGCCCTGGGCGCCTCCGGGGCCGGGCGTCGTTTTGGGGCTCTTCCCCCTGGGGAGCAGCGCACCTTTTTAGGGGCGACGGGCGTTTTGGGTTCCTGCTTCTGCCTCTCCTTGTCCTGCACGCCCGGCGGCGGCGCGTTCTGCTCGGGGGGTCTGATGACGGGCCGCCCGCCCTCCATGGGCTTCATCTCCGTTCCTGCAACAACGGCGGCCCCATGAGCGGCGGTCCCACGCCATTCCCAGCACCCGGCCGGAGCCTGGGGGCTGCACACTCACTCTGCGGGATGTGGGCGGGGGGTTTGATGCTCTCGGGGTGTTTCGGGGGGTCCTGCCTCAAAGGGGGGCTGAAGGTTTCGTTCCGGATGACGGGAGAATGCATCTTCTCCTCCTTCACCACCATGGGCTGCGATTGCACGACGGAGGCGGATCGCATCTCCTGCCACGGAGCAGAGCGGGGATGGAGGGGGGGGGGGATGGAGGGGGGGTCAGGCACTGCGCGGCCCCCTGTGGCAGCGACCCCCCGCCCGGCCCCCAGCCCCCCACCCTGGCTGCGCGGCTCTGCGCCCCGGGCCGGGGCCTCGGCGCCCGTTTTCCTTTACCTGCTTTTTTGGCTGGATGTTTTGTTGAGGTGGCGACTGGTGAACCAAGCCCTGGAACGGCGGCATCTGTGGGGAATGCATCATGAGAGGGGAAGGGGCTTCCCGCAAGTGACCTGCAACAGTTCGGCACCAGTCAGTCAATGCTGTTCGGCGACGCCGCGTCGCGACGCGCACCGCCCTATCGCGACACACAGCGCCCTACTGGGATACGCACTGCCCTATCACACCGCCCTATCGCGACACACGGCGCCCTATCGCGACACACAGCGCCCTACTGGGATACGCACTGCCCTATCACACTGCCCTATCACGACACACGGCGCCCTATCGCGACACACGGCGCCCTATCGTGACACACAGTGCCGTACTGGGATACGCACTGCCCTATCACACCGCCCGGTCGCGACACACAGCACCGTATCGTGACACACAGCACCCTATTGGGATACGCACTGCCCTATCACACCGCCCTATCACGACACACAACGCCCTATCGCGACACACGGCACCCTATCGTGACACACAGCGCTGTGCTGGGATACGCACTGCCCTATCACACTGCCCTGTCGCGACACACGGCGCCCTATCGCAACACACAGCGCCGTACTGGGATACGCACTGCCCTATCACACTGCCCTATCGTGACACACAGTGCCCTATTGGGATACGCACTGCCCTATCACACCGCCCTGTTGCGACACACAGCGCTGTATCGCGACACACAGCGCCATATCGTGACACACAGCACCCTATTGGGATACACACTGCCCTATCACACCGCCCTGTCGCGACACACAGTGCCGTATCAGGGCACACCCTGCCCTATCGCAACATGTACCACCCTATCACGACACACACTGCCCTATCACAACACACACCGCCCTGCCACAACGCACACCACCCTATCGCAACACACAGCACCATATCGTGACACACACTGCCCTATCACAACATGTACTATCCTATCACAACACACAGTGCCCTATTGCGACACACAGTGCCCTATCACAACACACACTGTGCTATCACAACACACGCTGCTCTGTCACAACACGCACCACCCGACCATGACATGTACCACCTTATCACGACACAGAGTGCCCTATCACAACACAATGTCCTCTCAATGGAAAGTGCCTGGGGCCAACACACGTTGGCCAACACCCAGCAAAGGTTGTCTGGCGCCAGCAAACCTTGGCCAACACCCAATGGAGAGGATCTGGTACCCAACACACGTTGGCCAACACCAAAATGGAGTGGCTGGTACCCAATACATGGCCAACACCCAGTGGAGAGCATCAGGGACCCAACACACCTTGAGCAGCACCCAATGGTCCAACACCCAACAAAGGGTGTCTGGGACCCAACACACCTTGAGCAGCACCCAATGGAGAGTGCCTGGGGCCAACACATGTTGCCAACACCCAAGAATGAGTGCCTGGGACCAAAACACATCGTCCAACACCCAACAAAGGGTGTCTGGGACCCAACACACCTTGAGCAGCACCCAGCAGAGAGTGTCTGGTGCCAACACACCTCGTCCAACACCCAAAAATGAGTGCCTGGCACCCAATGCATGGCCAACATCCAAGGGAGCGTGCCTGGGACCAACACACGTCGTCCAACACCCAGCAAAGGGAGCCTGGGACCCAATGCATGGCCAACACCCAGCAGAGAGTGTCCAGATCCTGACACACGTCGCCCAACACCCAGCAGAGGGTGCCTGGGACCCAACACACCTTGACCAGCACCCAATGGAGTGTCTGGTGCCAACAAACCTTGGCCAACACCCATTGGAGAGGATCTGGTACCCAGCACACGGCCAACACCCAATGGAAAGTGTTTGGTGCCAACACACGTTGGGCAACAACCATTGGAGAGTGCCTGGGACCCAAAGCATGGCCAACACCCAACACTGAGTGTCCAGATCCTGACACATGTCGCTCAACACCCATCAAAGGGTGTCTGGGACCCAACACACGTTGGCCAACACCCAGCAAAGGTTGTCTGGTGCCAACAAACCTTGGCCAACACCCAATGGAGAGGATCTGGTACCCAACACACGTTGGCCAACACCAAAATGGAGTGGCTGGTACCCAATACATGGCCAACACCCAGTGGAGAGTGTCAGGGACCCAACACACCTTGAGCAGCACCCAATGGTCCAACACCCAACAAAGGGTGTCAGGGACCCAACACACCTTGAGCAGCACCCAAGGGAGAGTGCCTGGGGCCAACACATGTTGCCAACACCCAAGAATGAGTGTCTGGGACCAAAACACATCGTCCAACACCCAACAAAGGGTGTCTGGGACCCAACACACCTTGACCAGCACCCAATGGAATGTCTGGTGCCAACAAACCTTGGCCAGCACCCATCAGAGAGTGCCTGGGACCCAATGCATGGCCAACACCCAACAGAGAGAGTTTGGTACCAACACACGTTGGCCAACACCCAGTGGAGAGTGTCCAGATCCTGGCACACGTCACCCAACGCCCAACAAAAGGTGCCTGGGACCCAATGCATGGCCAGCACCCAGCAGAAAGTGCCCAGATCCTGACACACGTTGGCCAACACCAAAATGGAGTGGCTGGTACCCAACACACCGCCAACACCCAGTGGAGAGTGTCAGGGACCCAACACACCTTGAGCAGCACCCAATGGTCCAACACCCAACAAAGGGTGTCTGGGACCCAACACACCTTGACCAGCACCCAACGGAGTGTGCCTGGGGCCAACACATGTTGCCAACACCCAAGAATGAGTGCCTGGGACCAAAACACATCGTCCAACACCCAACAAAGGGTGTCTGGGACCCAATGCATGGCCAACACCCAACAGTGAGTGTCCAGATCCTGACACACATCACCCAACACCCAACAAAGGGTGCCTGGGACCCAACACACCTTGAGCAGCACCCAGCAGAGAGTGCCTGGTGCCAACAAACCTTGGCCAACACCCAGCAATGAGTGCCTGGGACCAAATACATTTTGGCCAACACCCAGTAGAGAGTGTTTGGTGTCAACACACGTTGGCCAACACCCAATGGAGAGGATCTGGTACCCAGCACACGGCCAACACCCAATGGAAAGTGTTTGGTGCCAACACACGTTGGGCAACAACCACTGGAGAGTGCCTGGGACCCAAAGCATGGCCAACACCCAGCAGAGAGTGTCCAGATCCTGACACACGTCGCTCAACACCCATCAAAGGGTGTCTGGGACCCAACACACCTTGACCAGCACCCAGCAATGAGTGCCTGATGCCAACACACGCCGTCCGACGCTCAGAACGAGCCCGGAACGCAACGGAGCGCCCAGCACCCAACCCGAGTTGTCTGAAACCCCCACGAGGTGCCCGATACCCGCAGCCGAGCGCCCTGGGAGGCGACGCCGAGCCACCCCTGCGTCACCAAAGGGTGCAGGGTCTGCGGCCTCGGCTCCTGCTCACCGGTCGAGTAGGGGTCGGGCTTATGGTGCCGTGGCGAGGGGTGATGCTGGATGACTTGCTGAGGTTTCGCCGGCTGCGGAGGCTGCGGCGGCGGCGGCTGCGGGGGCTGATGCTGCTGCGGAGGTGGCTGCGGTTGGGGGATGTGGGAAGGGAAGGGCATGGGTTGCATGTGCATGGGCCTCTGCTGGGGTTGGTGCTGCAGCTGCTGCACCGCGGGGTGCGCCGGAGGCTGCAGGGGAGGCTGGGGCTGCGACTGGACCTTCACTGAAGGGAGAAGAGGAGTCTGCGGCTGCACTTTCTGCAGCTGTTGAAGGTAGAGCTGCATCTGGCTGGTGCTCAGAGGCAGGCTGTGGTGAGGCGGGGGAGGCTCCTCGTCCTCCAGCAGGACTTGGGGAGGCTGGGGCAGAGGCGGCTGAGGGAGCATGGGCTGCTGGCTGATGGCTGGCGAGACGGCCGGCGGGCGCGGAGGCTTCGGGGGCAGAGCGGCGGCGCGGTTGCTGGGTCTCGAGGGCTGCTGAGGCAGAGCGTTGTGCAAAGCTGGGGAGAGACGGACAGGGAAGCTGGTGAGAAAGGTGGAGGGCGACTTTCGGCGCGCTCGGATGAGGGGCATCGGTTTTGAAGTCCGATTCTTCCCTCAGAGGGCAACAAGGTCCCGGTGCTGCCAACCAGAGCTGCGGTGCCCCAGCCCTGGAGGCGCCCGTGGGGCCCTGAGCTGGAGGGGGGCACCCAGCCGTGGCAGGGGTCAGCCTGGGGGGGGCTTTGGGTCCCTTCCAACCCAACCGTGCTGTGATCCCATCATTCTCCTGTCTGCGAGGACCCTTCCAAAGGAAGTCATGCAACGATTCGATGGTTCTGTGACCTTCAAGGACTCTTTGCAACCCCAACCCGAGTCATTCTGTGTTTATCTGACCTTCGAGGACCCTTTGAACCCAACCCGATCCATTCCACGGCTCCGCGCTCACTGAAGACCCTTCTAACCCCGTTATTGTATGGTTTCGGGATCTTTAAGGTCCCTTCCAACCCAGACCGGTTTGGGAGCTGCCATCCAAGATTCCACCCAACGCCTCCAGCAGGACTCCAACCCCACATCTGCCTCCGGCCTCATCCTCCCACCCTGGATTCGTGGCTCTGGACGCCCCGGCACCCATCACAAGGTGCCAGCACACAGTGCAGGGCGCCCAGCACCAAATGCAGAGGGTCCAACAGCCAACCAAGCACCCAGAACCCAACGCAGAGCACCCAGAGCCCAACGCAGAGCACCCAGCACCCAACACAGAGCACCCAGAACTCAACACAGAGCACCCAGAAACCAACACAGAGCACCCAGAGCCCAACACAGAGCACCCAGAACCCAACGCAGAGCACCCAGAGCCCAACGCAGAGCACCCAGAACCCAACACAGAGCACCCAGAACCCAACACAGAGCACCCAGAACCCAACACAGAGCACCCAGAACCAACGCAGAGCATCCAGAGCCCAACGCAGAGCACCCAGAACCAACGCAGAGCACCCAGAACCAACACAGAGCACCCAGAACCCAACACAGAGCACCCAGCACCCAACGCAGAGCACCCAGAACCCAACACAGAGCACCCAGAGCCCAACACAGAGCACCCAGAACCCAACACAGAGCACCCAGAACCAACGCAGAGCACCCAGAACCAACGCAGAGCACCCAGAACCAACGCAGAGCACCCAGAACCCAACGCAGAGCACCCAGACCCCAACACAGAGCACCCAGAACCCAACACAGAGCACCCAGAACCAACGCAGAGCACCCAGAGCCCAACACAGAGCACCCAGAACCAACGCAGAGCACCCAGAACCCAATGCAGAGCACCCAGAGCCCAACACAGAGCACCCAGAACCCAACACAGAGCACCCAGAACCAACGCAGAGCACCAAGAACCCAACGCAGAGCACCCAGAGCCCAACGCAGAGCACCCAGCACCCAACGCAGAGCACCCAGAACCCAACGCAGAGCACCCAGAACCAACGCAGAGCACCCAGAACCAACGCAGAGCACCCAGAACCCGACGCAGAGCACCCAGAACCAACACAGAGCACCCAGCACCCAACACAGAGCACCCAGCACCCAACAAAGCACTCGACGCAGAGCATCCAGGACCCAACGTGGTGTGTTCAGCATCCAACAGGGAACGTGTAGCACCCATTTAGAACACCCAGCACCCAGTGCAGAAGGTCCAGCACTCAACAAAGTAGCCAGCACTCAGCACAGGGTGTCCAGGACCCAAAATAGGTATCCAGAACTCAACATGGCTCCTCCGGCACCCAAAGTAGAGCCCCAGAACCCAATGTAGGGCAGCCAGAACTCAATGCAGGGTACCTAGAACCCAGTGTAGGGTACCTAGAACTCAATGAAGGGCAGCCAGAACCCAATGTAGGGTATCCAGAATCCAATGTAGGGTATCTGGAACTCAACGTGACACCTCCAGCACCCAAAGCAGACCCCCAAAACCCAATGTAGGGTATCCAGAACCCAGTGTAGGGTATCTAGAATCCAATGCAGTGTATCCAGAACTCAACATGGCACCTCCAGCACCCAAGGCAGGGCCCTCAGCACTCAAAGCAGACCCCCAGAACCCAATGTAGGGCATCCAGAACCCAATATAGGGTACCCAGAACTCAACGTGGCACCTCCAGCACCCAAGGCAGCGCCCCCAGCACCCAAAGCAGCCCCCCAGAACTCAATGCAGTGTATCCAGAACTCTACGTGGCACCTCCAGCACCCAAGGCAGTGCCCCCAGCACTCAAAGCAGACCCCCAGAACCCAATGTAGGGCATCCAGAACCCAATATAGACCAGAACTGAACGTGGCACCTCCAGCACCCAAGGCAGCGCCCCCAGCACCCAAAGCAGACCCCCAGAACCCAATGTAGGGCATCCAGAACCCAATGTAGGGTATCCAGAACCCAACGTGGCACCTCCAGCACCCAAGGCAGAGCCCCAGAACCCAATGTAGGGCATCCAGAACTCAACGTGGCACCTCTGGCACCCAAAGCAGACCCTCAGAACCCAATGTAGGGTATCTGGAACTCAACATGGCACCTCCAGCACCCAAGGCAGCGCCCCCAGCACCCAAAGCAGACCCCCAGAACCCAACGTAGGGCATCCAGAACCCAATGTAAGGTATCTGGAACTCAACGTGACACCTCCAGCACCCAAAGCAGAACCCCAAAACCCAATGTAGGGTATCTAGAACTCAATGTAAGGCATCCAGAACTCAAAGTGGCACCTCCAGCACCCAAAGTAGACCCTCAGAACCCAATGTAGGGTATCCAGAACCCAATGTGGCACCTCCAGCACCCAAAGTAGACCCTCAGAACCCAATGTAGGGCATCCAGAACCCAATGTAAGGTACCCAGAACTCAACATGGCACCTCCAGCACCCAAGGCAGACCCCCAGAACCCAATGTAGGGCATCCAGAACCCAATGTAGGGTATCTGGAACTCAACATGGCACCTCCAGCACCCAAAGCAGCAGCCCCTGCACCCAAAGCAGACCCCCAGAACCCAATGTAGGGCCCCAGAACCCAATGTAAGGTACCCAGAACTCAACGTGGCACCTCCAGCACCCAAAGCAGACCCCCAAAACCCAATGTAGGGTATCTAGAACTCAATGTAAGGCATCCAGAACTCAAAGTGGCACCTCCAGCACCCAAAGTAGACCCTCAGAACCCAATGTGGCACCTCCAGCACCCAAAGCAGACCCTCAGAACCCAATGTGGCACCTCCAGCACCCAAAGTAGACCCTCAGAACCCAATGTGGGGTATCCAGAACCCAATGTAGCACCTCCAGCACCCAAAGCAGACCCCCAGAACCCAGTGTAGGGCATCCAGAACCCAATGCAAGGTACCCAGAACTGAACGTGGCTCCTCCAGCACCCAAAGCAGCGCCCCCAGCCCCCCCTGCTGCGCTCACCTGGAGGCGAGACCACCGCGTGTTGGTTCAGGTGGGGAGGAGTGCTGTGCTCGGGAGGCTGGGGAAGATGAGGCGGCATCTCGGGCTGAGGGAGATGCATGATGGGCTGAGTGAAATGCGGCATAGTGTCGAACATGTTCCCCGGGAGAGGGTGCTCCATGACGGGGACCTGCGCAGGTACGAAGGGAGGCGGGGAGGATTTCATCGGCGGCGGGGCCTGCGGGGGGACGGGCGGCGGAGGCGGAGGCTGAGGCTGCAGCTGCTGCGGCTGCAGTTGCTGCGGCGGAGGCGGCGGGGGCTGCTGAGGGGGCTGAGGAGGAGGAGGCGGCTGCTGCTGCTGCTGCTGCACCGCTTGGTGGTGGTGGTGGTGATGCTGAAAGGGAGAAAGGCGGGGAGATTGTGTGGCTCGGGTTTGGCTGGAAGCAGGACGGCTTCCGAGCGGAGCAAAGGGGCTCTGCTGGAGGAGGGAGGGAGAGTGGGATCCCCCCCAGCCCCCTGGGCTTGGAGCCCAGCCCTGCAGGCAGGGGGGGCTGCTCCGTGTCCTACCTTCTTTTGCTCTCGCCCAGAGTGCCCCTTCTTCTTCAGTTTTGGTGCCATTTCTGCAAAGAGAAGGAGGGCACAAATTAACACCCGGGCTCTGCTGCTCTCTGCACCCCTTCCCCCCCTCCCCCAAAAAGAAAATAAAAGACAGCAGTGCTTCGCTATGACAGTTAACACTTGGAACAGATTATCTCAGGTCTTTTCCAACCTTAACGACTCCACGAGGAAGGCAAAGTCCAGCTCATGCCCTGCTTTCGCCCAGCTCCACACCGGAGGCCGGGGCCCCGCATGCTGGCACAGAGCCGCAGCCTCCCTCCAGCCGCATCCCTGCTGCTGCAGCGCTGGGAAAAAGCAGCAGAGCTGTGCCTGACCGACGCAGTTATTCCAGGAATGCGGCCTCGCTGGGAGGCAGAGAGAAGGGGAGAAAGGCAGGAAGCAGGGGAGAAAAAAAGGAGCTCAGCAGTGGAGCTCAGCACAGGCAGCGCTGCCTCCAGCGCCGGGGCCGGCTGTGCGAGCGGACGAAGGCTGACCTCTCCCTCCTCCTCCTCCTCCTCTGCTCGGGGGTATTTTTAAAGCACAACAACTGCAACCAAGGCTGCAGGATTTTCTCTCCGCCAAGAAAAGAGAGAAACGCAGAAATGCATTTCTCTGATGCTGGGTTATCGGGCCAAAAATTCCTCGGCAGCGAATTCCACGCCGACTGCGCTCGGCTCCTCGGCCTCATGCGGTGTCATTTCATCCATCCTTGGCACGGAGAGGGATTTCATCCCGAGCTCTGGCAAAAGTCAGCTTTTCCCATCTGTGAGCGGACGACTACAAGCTGGGAATGAGAGTTTTTTGGGCAAAAGTGAAGAGCTGGAGCACAATGCGAGGCGGCCGAGCCGAGGTGCCGTCCTGCAGCATCCCCCAGAACAGCAGTTTGGAACCAAGAACGCTGCGGTCGAGGTGCATTCAGGTGGCAAAGCCCCACGGTGTGAGATTTCATCCTCCCAAAGCAAAACCACCGGGGAGAATTCGCACGTTGATGGCTGGGGAGGCAGAGAAAAGGAAGATGGGCCAAGAAACGGGATGCTTCTGGGGGTGCTCCACTTACCTACGGCTGCAAGGATGTGGGCTGAAGACCTGGCGGGTTGTAATTGGAGGGGAGGGCTACAAGGAGCCCTCTTTCAGTGTCACCAGGGGTGAAAACCATCGCAGGAAGGGAAAGGAATCAAAACTGCAGACTGTGAGGATTGGGGAAGAGATGAGAAAAGCTTTGGGTTGAGTGGAATTAAGATGTGAGCTCGAATGAGATGGGGGAGGATCGAGAGAGGACAAGCGTCAGCGCCAGCGATGAGGCTGAAAAAGCCACCAGGGCGTTGTAACAGAGCAGTCGTCTCTGTGATTTGGGTTGGAGATGCCAACATGGGGTTGGTGATGCCAATGCTGGGTTGAAGATTCCCAGTGTTGGGTTGGAGATGCCCAAAGTTGGGTTGAAGATCCTCAATGTTGAGCTGGCAATGGCCAAAGCTGGGCTGGAGACGCCAATGGTGGGTTGACGATGCACAATGTTGGGCTGGAGATGCCAATGTTGGGCTGGAGATGCCAATGTTGGGTTGGAGACGCTCAAGGTTGGGCTGGCAATGGCCAAAGTTGGGCTGGAGATGCCCAAAGTTGGGTTGAAGATGCACAATGTTGGGCTGGAGAGACCAAAGTTGGGTTGGAGATCCTCAATGTTGGGCTGGCAATGGCCAAAGTTGGGCTGGAGACGCCAATGTTGGGTTGGAGACGCCCAAGGTTGGGTTGGAGATCCTCAATGTTGGGCTGGCAATGGTCAAAGTTGGTTTGGAGATGCCAATGTTGGGTTGGAGATGCCCAAAGTTGGGTTGAAGATCCTCAATGTTGGGCTGGCAATGGCCAAAGCTGGGCTGGAGACGCCAATGCTGGGTTGGAGATCCTCAATGGTGGGTTGACGATGCACAATGTTGGGCTGGAGATGCCCAAAGTTGGGTTGAAGATGCACAATGTTGGGCTGGAGAGACCAAAGTTGGGTTGGAGATCCTCAATGTTGGGCTGGCAATGGCTGGAGACACCCAGTGTTGGGTTGGAGATGCCAATGTCAGGTTGAAGATCCTCAATTCTGGGCTGGCAATGGCCAAAGTTGGGCTGGAGATGCCAATGTTGGGTTGGAGACGCCCAAGGTTGGGTTGGAAATCCTCAATGTTGGGTTGGAGACGCTCAAGGTTGGGTTGGAGATGCCAATGTTGGGTTGGAGACACCCAAAGCTGGGTTGAAGATCCTCAATGTTGGGTTGGAGATGCCCCAAGTTGGGTTGGAGATCCTCAGTGTTGGGCTGGCAGTGGTCAAAGTTGGTTTGGAGACGCCAATGTTGGGTTGGAGATGCCAATGTTGGGTTGGAGATTCTCAATGTTGGGTTGGAGATGCCAATGTTGGGTTGGAGACGCCAATGTTGGGTTGGAGATGCCAATGTTGGGTTGGAGACGCCAATGTTGGGTTGGAGATGCCAATGTTGGGTTGGAGACGCCAATGTTGGGTTGGAGACGCCAATGTTGGGTTGGAGACGCCAATGTTGGGTTGGAGACGCCAATGTTGGGTTGGAGACGCCAACCAAGGAGCTTCAAGGCCCAAAGATGAGGAAGAGGAACCTCGACAGCCACCCGTGGCTCAGAGCAAACAACTGCGCCAAGAAGGGAAGTGGGACCAAGCGCTGTGAACCCGACGTCTTTCCTCACTGCTTCTCTGTCAGATGCCTGCATTCTTCCTTTGCCCACATCTTGGAGGGGAGCTTTGGCTCCTGCTGCAGCCAAGCACTCCCTGCCAGCTGGCTGCAGATGCGTTGGAGGACGAAGAAATCGGGTTTTGCACCCCCCAAAAAAACTCTATTGGAGCAGCTGGGAACCAGCAAACCAGAAATGAACGGAGAAAGTAAGAAACGAAGCTTCTGTCATGGCATCTCAACACAGTGAGCCAGGAAGGACCAGGCTGGGACACCAACGCCGTGCCCAGATGCTCTCCTCCCTGAGTCCCCTTCTGCTCCCACCCACAGCACAGCTTCAAGCAGGGCTTAAAACTACGATGATACAAAAGGTGCATTTTCCATAGCAAGCCGAATGCTTTATTGAGTTTATTACTTAAAAACAGAAAGAAAGATTAAGAAAACTACACGTATTTCCCCCTCCCTTCCCTGCTTGCTGCTGAAAGGAGCCTGCGGTGACACGACTGTTAAGAAGCATGCAGAGCAAATACTGGCCCAAAAAGGTTTGGACCGACCGCTGACTGGGAGAAATCTGAGTAAAAATGGATGGAAAGAAAGAAAAGAGTCCATTCTTGGTCAGATTTGTTCCCATTGGAGCTGTTGGAGGAAGCTGGAAGGACAAGGCTGCCAGAGAAGCACGCAGCGACGCATCCTGCGCTCGCAGACCGGGGGAAGTCGTTAACAAATGGCTCCAGAACTGAGAGAAGAGCAGCGAAACAAGCAGCTTTTCTCCATGTCCTATCGCTTATGAAGATCATTTCTCCCTGGGTATGAAAGCAACGGGGTGGGAAGGGGGGCTTTGGGCGGCGGGAGCACCCAAAGTGATGCGCGTTATTCACCTGCGCCCCCATTTTTGCCCCCAAAATGGGGCTCGGTTGGCGCTCAGCCCAACCCACAGTGCTCCCCGTGGCTGCTTGAATCCATTTCAACCCTTCAGAGCCTTCAGAGAAGCGTCTGCAATGGGCAGAACAGCCGTGGGGAGAAGCTGCAGGGATCTGAGAGCTTTTCTGAGGCGGGGGAAAAGCGGGATGTAAGCACTGAGAAACGGGGCTGAAACGTGTCCCAAAGCTTCAGCACAACAAACACAGCGTGGAAACGGCTCAGGGTACAAAAAGGAGCGACCAGGGGGAGAAACTTCACCCATAAGGGGGGAAAGAAAAGCACTGATTCCTTCCTGACACAAAAAGGAAAGCTGAGATGCGAGCGGAACGACCGATAATGAGAGCACCAACAGCAAGCAGGGAGCACAGAGCAGCCCAGCATGGATGCAGGGCACCCAGCTGCCCTGAGCAGCACCAACAGCAAGCAGGGAGCACAGAGCAGCCCAGCATGGATGCAGGGCACCCAGCTGCCCCCAGCAGCACCAACAGCAAGCAGGGAGCACAGAGCAGCCCAGCATGGATGCAGGGCACCCAGCTGCCCCCAGCAGCACCAACAGCAAGCAGGGAGCACAGAGCAGCCCAGCATGGATGCAGGGCACCCAGCTGCACTGAGCAGCACCAACAGCAAGCAGGGAGCACAGAGCAGCCCAGCATGGATGCAGGGCACCCAGCTGCCCCCAGCAGCACCAACAGCAAGCAGGGAGCACAGAGCAGCCCAGCATCGATGCAGGGCACCCAGCTGCCCTGAGCAGCACCAACAGCAAGCAGGGAGCACAGAGCAGCCCAGCATGGATGCAGGGCACCCAGCTGCCCCTCCTATGGACACGGAGCCCAGCTCTGCGTTAACGACCCGGGTGCCGCAGCTCTGACCCAGCACAGCAGCTCTGTGTTGGGTTCCTCCCCCATGAAACCCAATGCAAACGCTCCAAGCTGAGCCGAGCAAAGCGCCTCTTCCCTCTGCTCTGGCTGGCGTCCAGCGCACACAAACTTGTTGGGGATTCCAAACAAGAAGAAAAACAAACCGAAAGCCAGATTGGAAAATGCTGGGCGTTCGCCAGCGCAGCTCGGGGCCGTTTGCATGCAGCCAGGTGTTAATTGCAGCCAGGTGTTAATTACAACCAGTTGGACCGGAATCACCCTGCAGCACCGGTTTGGTTTCACAGAGCCGAAAGCAAAGCTGGGATTTGGGGTTGGGTTGTTTTGGGGTTTTTCTTTTTTGGGGGGGGATTGCAGGGAAAGAAGGGCAGCGCCAGAATCGACAGCGATGCTCCCGACTGCCAACGGGTTCATTGCAAAGAAAGGAAAACGCCTGAGCAACGACCGGGGCTGCAAAATGCACCAGGAGAGCGCCGCCATCAGCAGCTCCCAAAGCACCGCAACGGCAATTAATTGCAATTAATTACAGTTGATGGTGTTTGTGGATCCAGCGTTGCTTGCATGCTCTGGCATCTGCTCTGCTGCTTTTTAGCACGACGTCGCCGCGCAGAGCTGATGGCACAGCTGTGCAGCAATTAATCAGCGGGCCATTAATGAGCGAGCGGCTCTGTGAAAGGGGTTTTACTCCTAAATCCAAAGGTTTGGGCTTTTTATCTGCGAGTGAACGCTCCCTCTTTCTGTGCTGCTCTGCATTTAGGGCAAAATTTGGGTCCAAAAAGCGCATTTTTGGTACAATCTGCACCGGTTTGGTTACAGGGAGGAGGTGGGGTGCAAGCAACTACCTCAATTAGCCCACTAATTAGCAGCAGCACAGCCATGGGATGTGGGGATGAAGCCCCAGTTCCCACCAGGACATTTTTGGGGCTCCGTGGGGCCCCACAGGCTGAAGGAATCAGAGCACGGGGCTCAGCAGGGTCAGCCCCACAACCTGAGCCCCGCTCACCCTGCGACCTGAAGCTCCTGGCAGCACAGAGCTGCGCTTTCCTGCTCCGTTTGGGTCAACTTTTATTCCCCATTTCGGACGGAAAGGGAGACAAAAAGACCTCGGGTCAGGAGGGGCCCCATTCAGGCCTGAACCTCCGCTGGAATTTCATGGAATTTCAACCAAATCAAAGAGTTTTTCGGTCGGTTTTTTGTCCTCTCTGTGACCTACGGATGGATTTTAGTAAAACAAAGCCATTTTTGCACTCCTCTCCTCCCTGCCCCACGACGCCCCGACCGTCGCTGCCGCTCGGATCAGAGCTACGCGTCGCAAAGCCTTCACAGCTCCTTAAAAAGGAAAGCCAGATCCTATTAAAAATGCCTGAGAGCAAGGAACAAGCAAGGAATCCACGCCACGTAAAGGCAGCAGACGGCAGCGTTACCCCAGACACAAAGACCCCTAAAAACATCGCAGCGCTGAAGGGAAGCGCTGCCAACTGGGGTTGGAGGAGAGGAGAGGAGAGGAGAGGAGAGGAGAGGAGAGGAGAGGAGAGGAGAGGAGAGGAGAGGAGAGGAGAGGAGAGGAGAGGAGAGGAGAGGAGAGGAGAGGAGAGGAGAGGAGAGGAGAGGAGAGGAGAGGAGAGGAGAGGAGAGGAGAGGAGAGGAGAGGAGAGGAGAGGAGAGGAGAGGAGAGGAGAGGAGCCCTGAGGCAGCCAAGTCGTGGGGTTCCTATGAACGGAACTCAAGGGGAGAGGATTTCTGTTGGGTTTGGGGGCTCTTTAGAGGTTGCCTGTAGAGCTGAGCTGAGCCCAAGTTGAGCTGCAGGCCCACGGGGAGCCACAGATCCAAGGAGCCCCAGGCAAACCCAAAAAGACCTGCAAACATCCAACCAGCCTACAGAGGTCCAAGGAGACCTAAGAAGACCTAAGCAGGCCCAAGTAGATCCAAGTAGATCCAAGCAGACCTACACAGATCCAAGTAGATCCAAGCAGACCCAAAAAGATCTACACAGACCCAAGTAGATCCAAGCAAACCTACACAGATCCAAGTAGATCCAAGTAGACCAACGCAGACCCAAGTAGATCCAAGACCTACACAGATCCAAGTAGATCCAAGTAGACCTACACAGATCCAAGTAGATCCAAGCAGACCTACACAGATCGAAGTAGATCCAAGTAGATCCAAGCAGACCTACACAGATCCAAGTAGATCCAGGCAGACCTACACAGATCCAAGTAGATCCAAGTAGATCCAAGCAAACCTACACAGATCCAAGTAGATCCAAGTAGATCCAAGCAGACCTACACAGATCCAAGTAGATCCAGGCAGACCTACACAGATCCAAGTAGATCCAAGTAGACCAACGCAGATCCAAGTAGATCCAAGTAGACCTACACAGATCCAAGTAGATCCAAGTAGACCAACACAGATCCAAGTAGATCCAAGTAGATCCAGGCAGACCAACGCAGACCCAAGTAGATCCAAGACCTACACAGATCCAAGTAGATCCAAGCAGACCAACGCAGATCCAAGCAGACCTATGTGGGCCCAAGGAGACCTACATGGATCCAAGGAGACCTACGTAGATCCAAAAAGATCCAAGTGGACCTAAGCAGACCCAAACAGATCCAAGCAGATCTAAGCAGGACAAAGAGACCTACGTAGATCCAAGGAAGTCAACCTAAGCAGACCCAAGGAGACCTACGTAGATCCAAACAGATCCAAGGAGATCCAAGTTGACCTCAGCAGACCTAAGGAGACCTACGTCGACCCGAGGAGATCTACGTAGACCCAAATAGATCCAAGCAGATCTAAGCAGGACAAGGAGACCTCTGCAGATCCAAGGACACCTAAGCAGACCCAAACAGATCCAAGTAGATTTAAGCAGGACAAGGAGATCCACGTAGACCCAAACAGATCCAAGCAGACCCTAAGGAGACCTAAGGAGACCTAAGGAGACCTACATCGATCCAAGCAGACCTAAGCAGACCCAAACAGATCCAAGCAGACCTAAGCAGATCCAAACAGATCCAAGCAGACCTACGCAGACCCAAGCACATGCAAGCAGCTCCAGGTTCATCTCCTGCCCTGCACACCGACCCTATTCTGTTCCTCCTATTTCTGTGCTGGGAGGAGCCCATACCACCTCCAAGCTGAGTTAGTTGCCACACAAAACAGCTTCAGTCGACCGCACGGAGCTTTGGCGATGCAAAACCCAGGAGGGAACGGCAGCAAGCGGTGCTACAAAGGAGGAGAGCAGCCCGAGCCCAGCCCAGGAGGGCAGAAGGGAGGAGAGCAAAGCAGCGCTGCCCTGGAAGCACCCCTCTGCTTTTTAGAAAGGGCTCTGCTACACAAACACGAGGTTCCTCCTCCTGGCAAGAACAGATCGAGCCTCCAGCCAGGACAACACAGCAGCTCCCTGAAAGCACACAGCTACGTCCTCAGACGGACAAACAGCCACCCTGGCACCACTGCAGCTCAGCTCCTGCACCCACAGCCAACCTCAGCAAAGTCAACGCTCCTGACAATACCTTGCAGTGCTTGAGAAGTGCCAGAGACAACAGTGCTACTGCCAAGCTGGAGGGCAGCATGCAGCTCCTGCGCTGTGTATAATATTGGTTTTAATTACAAAGACAAAAAATTAAAGACCAAGCCGGTAATGAAAACATATTTATTTATACAGAAAACAGGTATAGGACTGAGTCTTTAAATAAGCTGCATCTAACCTGTTTCTGAATCTTCACTGTCGGAGGAGCTGGACTCGCTGGTGCTCTCAGACTCTGAGGAGGAGAACCCCTTCATTTTAGAGGAACCAGCAATTACATCCACCTTCTCTGCTGCAAGAAGACAACAGCACAAAACGAATGGTCAAAGGGACGGGAAGGAACCCAGAGCCTCCAAACCGTGCTCCTCTCTGCCACCCCGAGCCCAGCTGGGGGCTCCCAATGCTGAAAATGTAATATTGCTGCTGCTCTGGCTTCCTGGCCCAGGGAAGAAGGACAAGGGTGCCTTTTTAAGAGCTTAAACTCCCAATTAAAACTCCAATTAAAGGCCGGGAGGCGCTCAGGGCTCTGCTGTACCCCTGAGGATGCGCTGAGCTGCAGCTGAACAACCTCAGTGCTTTCAACAAGCCTCAAATCTGGGCAGCTCTCCTTTCTGCTCAGGTTTACACCATGCCGGCCACAGGGAGAAAGCAGCCCTCCGAATCCCACAGGGTTTCAGGGAGGATCAAGATGTGCTCCAGCACATCGTGGCTGCAACAGAGCTCCTCCAGCCCCGCGGCTCGGCAGGGAGGAGCAGCAGCAGCAGCGGCTCTGCAGGACGCGGCGCCGAGCGAAACGCTGCCCTTAACCTCTCCTCTGCACACAGACATCTTTTGGGAGAAAAGATTTACGTTAGAGGGAGGCTGAGAACCAAAGGCCTCGAGTCGGAGCCACCGGATCTACCGGACGGCCGCTGGGGCTTCATGCGTTTCGCTGGAGCAGCTGCTCTCCTCACCCCATCACACAGGAAAGGCCCTAAAGGTGGCAACGCAGCACTGGGCTGCGAGGGGACCTGCTGTGAGGATGAAAGGTACCTTGAGGTTTCCTCTTCTTCCTCAAACACGACGTTACGTATCTCTCCAGCTCCCGTAACGTGGAGGGTTTTAACGTCTCAAAGTCAATTTCAATCTCGTCGGGATTGGAGTTTTTAAGCGAGGGTTCTCTCGACTGGATGATGTGAACAACTCGGCCCAGCTTTTCACCGGGCAGTTTGTTAATGTCCAGGCTCAGCTGCCTCTTCTCCTCATAGGACATGGGCTTACACTTCTCCTCCTCCTCAGACTCGTAGGCTGGAGGGGGCTTGCTGTTCTTCACCGTCACCGGCTCCTTCTTACTACTTAGGAACAATTGTAACACGTCATTATGGCACACGACAGAACGAGGAGACGCTGCAAGAAGCAGCTGCTCGCTTCTGCTGCGTTACAGCAGCGCGGCTGCGCCGACTGCTATTGCAAGGAACAGCAGCAGGGAGCTCTGCACGCACCAGCAGCTGCTTTCGACCTCTTATCTCACAGCTACGCTCTCAGAAACGAGCGGCTGCAGGCAGAGCTCTGCACGTCTGCACTGGGATGGATGAAAGGCCAGGGCAGAGCAACGCTGCCCACCTCCCTGCAGGGGGTTGCGCTGCTCTGAGGCCTCGGGGCAGCACGGCGTCCCCTTAGGCAGAGCAAAACCCGACGCTTATAGGGAAACGCGCTGCCAAGCAGCAGCAGCAGGGGCAGAGGATGCTCTGTGGTGTCTGCTGGGCCGGAGAGAAACTAAAGGAGGCCGATCTGCAGCCGTGCTTGCAGGAATTTACCCTGCAGCCCAAGCAGGAGCTCCTCTCAGCTCCTGACCCCTCGCTTCAGAACCCACGGCTCCAAGTGAAGCAGGAGGGAGAGAACGGAGGGGGTCAGGGATCAACGGCCCGACTCCCAGAGCTCTTCTCTCCCATCCTTAATTAAAGCAGCCCAAGGTGAGGGGTGGCTGCAAGCCCTGCTGAAGCTGCGGGTGCTGCTCTGCAAGACCCCCATGCAAAGCGATCAGATGGAGAAGCACAAACGCAGCAAAACACGACTGCAGCGCAAACAGGGCTGACCTGGAGGTGCTGCTGTTGCTGTTACTTTTCTTGGCCTTCTTGGACGGCGGTTCCTTGGCTTTACTCTTCTTGCTGTCTTCCAGCTCTTCCTTCTTTTTGTGCTTCTCCTTCTTCTTCTCCTTCTTGTCCTTCTCTTTTTTCTTTGGTTTGTTCTGCTGGGGCTGGGACAGGGCTGCAAGCTGTTCATGCACTGCTTTCAGCTGAGAGGCAGACATATAGAGATCAACACACTTTGGCCCAGCACCTCCTTCTCTTCCGCCTTAATCACCCCTCTGCTGCTTTCCTCCCTCTCCCCATCCCACCCATCCCAGAAAGAAAGGCTCCTCTGTACCTTTCAGCCCTTCTCTCCTACGGGTGGGAGAGCATTTACAGCTCAGCCTCCTTTTAGACCACGAGGTGGCCTGCAGCTGTGAGCTGAATGACAGAACCAAGGGTCTGGGTTGGAAGGGTCCTAAAAGATCACAGAAGCACGGAATGGGGAAGGTTGGCCGGGTCCTTAAAGATCACAGAGCCACGGGGTCACAGCAGAGCTTGGGTTGGAAAAGACCTTGAAGATGACAGAAGCACGGAATGGTTTGGGCTGGACGCGACCTTCAAGATCACCAAAGTGTGGATTCACAGAATGACTTCTGTTTGTAGGACCCTTAAATGTCACGGAACCAAAAATGGGTTGAGTTGAAAAGGACCTTGAAGGTCAGCAGACTACAGAATCCTCACATGGGTTCCAAGGGTCCTTAAAGGTCACAGAACCACAGAATGTGTTGGGCTGAATGGGTCCTTGAAGGCCAAAGAACCATTGAATGTGTTGGGTTGAATGGGTCCTTGAAGGTCACAGAACCATTGAATGTGTTGGGTTGAATGGGTCCTTAAAGGTCACAGAACCATACAATTTGTAGGACTGAATGGGTCCTTAAAGGTCACAGAACCCCAGAATGTGTTGGGTTAAATGGGTCCTTGCAGGTCACAGAACCACAGAATGTATTTGGTTGAATGGCTCCTTAAAGGTCATGGAAGTCCACAACCACGGACAGTTTGGGTTAGATGGGTCCTTAAAGATCACAGGAGCATGGAACGGGTGAGGTTGGAAGGGTCCTTAAAGCTACGGAACCCCCAAACCCCACAAAGTCTGGGTCAGGTGGCTCCTTCAAGATCATAAAACCACGGGGTCACAGCACGGCTGGGCTGGAAGGACCCCAAAGCCCCCCTGCCACGGCTGGGTGCCCCCCACCCTGTGGGCACCTCCAGGATGGGGCACCACAGCTCTGGGCAGCAGCGCCAGGGCCTTATTGCCCTCTGAGGGAAGAATTTCCCCTTCACCTGACCTCAGTTTCCCCTCTGGGAGGTTTTAAACCATTCCCTTCACTGGGGGCTTCTGCCTCCACCTTCCAAAGCTCCCAGCATGGGGTGCAGCGCACACGTCCTGCTCCAGCTGCTCTTTCTGCTCGCTGGGTTGAGCACAGCCTGGCTGGTTCTGCTCTTCCAGGTGGGGCGAAGCTTTGCTGGGCAGCCTGGGTGCTTTGGGGCGAGGGCTGCAGCGTGTGGGAGCTGGAGCACAAAAAGCTCCAGCTGTGGGTGTTTGAGCTCCGGTGCCACCTTTGGCCTTCAGGATTTACGGCAAGCTGAGCCTAGGAAGGGACGTCCCTGCAGTTTCTTTAGGAGCAGAGGCACAGGCTTGAGAAAAGGTGCTCCGTCTGTTTAACAACAAGCCCTCATCGCACGCAGCAGAAGAAGAAATGAAACTCTTCCAGCGTTGCACCCTGCTCTGTTTAGTGCCGAATGATGGGGTCACAGCACGGTTGGGTTGGAAGGACCCCAAAAGCCCCCCTGCCACAGCTGGGTGCCCCCCACTCCGTGGGCACCTCCAGGATGGGGCACCACAGCTCTGGGCAGCAGCGCCAGGGCCTTATTGCCCCCTGAGGGAAGAATTTCCCCTTCACACCTGACCTCAGTTTCCCCTCTGGGAGGTTTTAAACCATTCCCTTCACTGGGGGCTTCTGCCTCCACCTTCCAAAGCTCCCAGCATGGGGTGCAGCGCACACGTCCTGCTCCAGCTGCTCTTTCTGCTCGCTGGGTTGAGCACAGCGTGGCTGGTTCTCCTCTTCCAGGTGGGGCGAAGCTTTGCTGGGCAGCCTGGGTGCTTTGGGGCGAGGGCTGCAGCGTGTGGGAGCTGGAGCACAAAAAGCTCCAGCTGTGGGTGTTTGAGCTCCGGTGCCACCTTTGGCCTTCAGGATTTACGACAAGCTGAGCCTAGGAAGGGACGTCCCTGCAGTTTCTTTAGGAGCAGAGGCACAGGCTTGAGAAAAGGTGCTCTGTCTGTTTAACAACAAGCCCTCATCGCACGCAGCAGAAGAAATGAAACTCTTCCAGCGTTGCACCCTGCTCTGTTTAGTGCCGAATGATGGGGTCACAGCACGGTTGGGTTGGAAGGACCCCAAAAGCCCCCCTGCCACGGCTGGGTGCCCCCCACCCTATGGGCACCTCCAGGATGGGGCACCACAGCTCTGGGCAGCAGCGCCAGGGCCTTGTTGCCCTCTGAGGGAAGAATTTCCCCTTCACACGACCTCAATTTCCCCTCTGGGAGGTTTTAAACCGTTCCCCTCATCCCATCACTGTGGCCAAAGTGATCAGAAGCGTTTATGAGATCTCCTGAGGTCCTGGAAGGACGCAGTCAGGTCTCCCTTGCAGTCTTCTCCTCTCCAGGCCGCACGCCCTGAGCTCAGCCTGTCGGCACAGCGCAGGAGCTCCAACCTGGGAGCAGCTCAGTCAGCCGTGCGTGGATTCACTGCTCCATCCCACGTCCCTCTGCATCCCATCCCCTCCTACTGCCACAACCGGGGGCAGCAGCGCCGGGCCCTGAGCGAAGAAATCCCTGCTGCCATCCCACAGAAACGCAGCAGACGACCGAGGCAACAGCAAGAGGGGCGGCGCAGGGCGGCCTACCTGCTCCTGGAGCTCCGCTAAGCGCTGAGCCCTCTCCTCTTCCGAGTCGTCGGAGGAGCTGTCGCTGTCGGAGGAGCTGTCGCTGCTGCTGTCGCTGGACGAAGGGGGAACCACTTTGGTCGGAGGTGGAACCACCACGGGAGAGGAGGCCGGGATCACCGGTTCCTCCGGTTCATCCGGCATCTTGGCGAAGCGCATCTCAAACACGTCCTGCAACAAAAAAAGAGATGCAAACCGGGTCGGCGGGGCTCCCAGGAGCTCCCAATGCCTGCCTGCACGACGCTGCCAGCTGCAGAGCGCCTCCTTCCACGCCTTGCATCCATCCGGGACTTGGGTTCGATCAAGGGGGGGGAAATTTAGAGGTGTCATGGTTTTACGTTTTCGTTGGGTTTCAGCATTCCACATCCAAACATCACATAGTGTACAGGGCATTAAAGTGTCACTGCCCCAACCCCAAGCTCCCATCCCTGTACATGGCAGCAGCCCCGGGCTCTGGCCCTTCCGGTGGGGGCCGCTCTCTTGCTGCCTTGCAGTGGGTGCTGGAGGTGCTTTCCTGGCCGTTCCAAGCTTTTCGGGTTTGAATCGGTGCCGGGAACTCTCTCATCTTGTCTGATTTATTCATCTCAATTTCAATTAAATTGTACAGATTGTGTTATTTTGTATTCCAATATCATAGTAAAATAAGCTTTCCTCCATAGATTGTTGCCGCTGCTCTTTTCCTCCCTTCCTTCCTTGCCATTTCTTTGTGGGACCGGGGTGGGGGGGAGGGCAGCGGCCTGTCGCCCTGTCACGGACACGGATTGATCTGCTCAACTCCGTGACAAGAGCAAAGGAAGGCCAAGAGCCGTTGGAAAGCTGCAGTGCTGGAGGCCAGGGCAGCGCTTGGCAGGCAGCGCTTTTCCTTCCCTGCACAACAGAAGCTTTTCCCAGCAGCCAGGGGCACCAAACCGCCTCCTGCTCACCCCTGTGCATGGAAGTCGCTGCTCTGCTGATCCTCACCCGTTTCTGTCCAAACCTCGGGGGGATAAACAGCGAAAGGCCTGCGGCCTTCATCAGCACGGCGGGGATGAAGGCGCTGCGCTCACAGCTCGTGCTGTTTCGGGTGAAGCAATGCTCTCAGGTCCAGCACTCTGCGCCCCACACATTTTGGGGCACCCCCACATTTTGCTTTCCTTCTGTTCCTCAGGACAGAACAAAGCAGCACCCCCCCATTTTGCTTTCCTTCTGTTCCCCAGGACAGAACAAAGCAGCACCCCCACATTTTGCTTTCCTTCCGTTCCCCAGGACAGAACAAAGCAGCACCCCCACATTTTGCTTTCCTTCTGTTCCTCAGGACAGAACAAAGCAGCACCCCCACATTTTGCTTTCCTTCCGTTCCCCAGGACAGAACAAAGCAGCACCCCCACATTTTGCTTTCCTTCTGTTCCTCAGGACAGAACAAAGCAGCACCCCCACATTTTGCTTTCCTTCCGTTCCCCAGGACAGAACAAAGCAGCACCCCCACATTTTGCTTTCCTTCCGTTCCTCAGGACAGAACAAAGCAGCACCCCCACATTTTGCTTTCCTTCTGTTCCTCAGGACAGAACAAGCGCTGCTTGCAGGAAAAATCACCACTCTGGGCAGCTCCAAGAGATCTGAAGGCGTTCTCAACGCCATGGTTCAAAGCTGTGCACTGTCACCAAGCTCCTTCAGGGTCCTTGCAGGTCACAGAACCATAGAATGTGTTGGGTTGAATGGGTCCTTGAAGGTTACAGAACCATAGAATGTGTTGGGTTGAATGGGTCCTTGAAGGTCACAGAACCATAGAATGTGGTGGGTTGAATGGGTCCTTAAAGGTCACAGAACCACAGAATGTGTTGGACTGAATGGGTCCTTGAAGGTTACAGAACCATCGAATGTGTTGGGTTGAATGGGTCCTTACAGGTCACAGAACCATAGAATGTGTTGGGTTGAATGGGTCCTTGAAAGCCAAAGAACCCCAGAATGTGGTGGGTTGAATGGGTCCTCGAAGGTCACAGAAGCATAGAATGCGTTGGGTTGAATGGGTCCTTGAAGGTAACATAACCATACAATCTGTAGGACTGAATGGGTCCTTGAAGGTCACAGAACCATCGAATGTGTTGGGTTGAATGGGTCCTTGAAGGTCACATAACCATACAATCTGTAGGACTGAAGGGTCCTTGCAGGTCACAGAACCACAGAATGTATTTCTGGAGAGATCCGGAGGGGATGCAGCTGAACTCTGCTGCTCAGCAGAGGCTGACGTTCAGGCCGTGGTCACCATGCACCCGTTTGTGCAGCTCTGGTGCAGAACCCAGCGCACAACGCGCGCTCCTACCAGCCTACTGTGCCCCTCTGCTCCAAAGTCACAGAATCACAGAATCACAGAATCACCCGGGTTGGAAGGGACCTCAAGGATCACGCAGTTCCAACCCCCTGCCCAGCAGGGCCACCAAACATCCACATTCAGATCAGGTTGCCCAGGACCCCGTCCAACCTGGCCTTGAACACGGCCAAGGACGGGGCATCCACAGCCTCCCTGGGCAGCCCGTTCCAGGGCCCAACCGCTCTCCTGTTACAGAACTTCCCCCTAACATCCAACCGAAATCTTCCCTCCTTCAACTTGGACCCCATAGGACACCCACAGGCCACCCAGTGACCCCATAGAGCACCCAGTGACCCCATAGGCCACCCAGTGACCCCATAGAGCACCTCCTGACCCCATAGGCCACCCAGTGACCCCATAGAGCACCCCCTGACCCCATAGGCCACCCAGTGACCCCATAGAGCACCCCCTGACCCCACAGGCCACCCAGTGACCCCATAGAGCACCCCCTGACCCCATAGGCCACCCAGTGACCCCATAGAGCACCCCCTGACCCCATAGGCCACCCAGTGACCCCACAGGCCACCCCCTGACCCCATAGAGCACCCACTGACCCCAACTTCCCCCTAACATCCAACCTCAATCTTCCCTCCCTCAACTTGGATCCATTTCCCCTCGTCCTGCTGTTCTCAGCCCTTCTGAAGAGTTGACTCCCCTCCTGGCTGTAGGTTCCCTTCAGGTATCGATAGGCTGCCATGAGGTCACCCCGCAGCTTCTCTTCTCCAGGCTGAACAAAGCCCAACTCCCTCAGCCTGTCCTCATAGGGGAGGTGCTGCAGCCCCCTGCTCATCTCAGTCGCCCTCCTCTGGACCCTTTCCAACATCTCAATGTCTTTCTTGTACTGAGGGCTCCACACCTGGACACAGGACTCCAGATGGGGCCTCACAAGAGTCCCTGCACAACAACCCAGAGAGAGACCTTCTTCCACCAGGCGCCGAGCAGCGCCCCCCTCCACGCGCATCCGACCTTCAGCACCCCAAGAGCCCCCGAAATGATGGGGCCAGGCCCGTCCTCGAGGTCACCGTGGGGTCCTGTGGGGCTGAGCCACCTCTGAGCTTCTTCCATGCCCGAGCCGGGCTGCCTTTCCCTCTAGGGCTTTATTCCACGCATCCCATAACCCCAGAGCAAATTAATTAGCCAGGGAAGGAAAAGCTATCCCTGTTATTTGGGTGAGGGGGTGTGTTTTTGTGGGGTGAGGTTGGGTGCACAAGCAGAGCATCCCCAGCAGGCTGGGAAATTGGGCACGTCGGGCGCAAAGTTGTCGTTGCACAGAGCAAAACTGAGCTGAAATGCAGATGGAGAGTATGATGAGATGGGTTTGGTTCAGGTTTGAGCTCCTTGGAGCCATTGAGGAAGGAGGCAGAGCATTGCTTGGTGATGCATGCATTGTGCTGCTGTAGGGAACCTGCTTTGGGGGGGGGTTGGACTCGATGATCTCTGGAGGTCCCTTCCAACCCCTACAATTCTGTGATTCTGTGATTTCTCCACCTCTGCTCCGGAGCTGCAAATGCTGCTTCGCTGCTTCCATCTGCTGGCAGCAGGGCCGCTTCCTCTTCTAGGCTCCTGGCACGGGGGACTGAAGGCTGGCAAGGGAAGGACCTGGATTGCTGGCTTTGCTCCTTCTGCCATGCGCTGACTCACCGCCCTTAATGAGTGCTGAGGAGCTAATTACTGTTTCCCACGAACCAGAAAATCCAGTGCTTGATTACCGCCAGCAGCCAACGCTGCTTTACATCCTTTACATCCCCTGGGTCAGAAATCAAACCATTTCTGGACCCGTGCAGCTTTGAGGTCAGCCCTTACGAAAGCAGAGCGGGATCCGTTTGAGCCACGTCCACTGCAACCAATTCAGCAGTGAAGACAAAACCCCAACACTGCAAAAACCCTCAGCTCTGCAAGTGCATTCACAGGGAACAGACGGAAGAGAAACCCTAACGAAGAAGCAGATAATGAGCTAATTAAGGGATTCTTCCTGCCCCTGCTTGCAGCGACACCAACCAGGTTCAGGCTGCGAGCTGCTGAGAGCACCACAACTCCTTCAAAATTCACCTTCCGACAGCAAAGCAGCACCAGGTGGCACCTGGGTGTCCTTTTGGGGGCCGACGCTCAGCCACTTTTTGGGACAGGTGAAAAACGGGGCTGTGCGTAAAGCAATGCGTGGTGATGGAACTCGGCCACGTCCAGAGCTGAGATCCCAGCCTGGCTGCAAACCTCAGCAGCGGCCCTCTGTAAAGCCGCTCCGTCTCTCACTTCAGATCAGAGTTTTTACACTTGGTTTCAGCAGGAAGCAGTTTTATGCACAGCCTCACGTTGCCAAGCGCTGCTGGAGCAGCTTCACAAACGAGCAAAGCTTTCCCCTGTGGATGGGGTGAGAGAAAAGACATCAGGACGGCCCACAGGAGCCCTGGAAGCGGCAGCTGGAGGGTGAGCAGCGGGGTTTTTTGGGTGTCCACCTGCCCACAGTGCAGCAGAGCAACAGGGAACGTGCAGAACGCTGCCAGTTCCACACCAAAAAGCTCTGGGATCACACGCAGCCGATCTCCAATTAAACCGGCTCAAACCTGGTTTACAGAAGCATCAAAGTGGTTTCAGGGCCCTGAACTCTGGGGCTCAGAGGCAGGAGAGGCACGGAGCTCAGCGCTGCTTCCCAGAAGAGCCCTGCTAAGAGCTGCGCTCAACACCTGCGGTTTCTTTGCAGCTGCACCGTGAATAACAGACAGCTTTCGTGCTGCAGAAACCAGGAGAGAGCAGAAACCGGGCTCACAATTAACAGGAATGGCAGCGCTGAGAGGCTGGCAGGGCCCCTGCGCTTCTCTCCAGGGGCGGTGGGGAGGAAGGGGACCCTTCAGAGCGCTGCCTTTCCTCCCACTCCTTCACAGAATCACAGAATCACCCGGGTTGGAAGGGACCTCAAGGATCACGTAGTTCCAACCCCCTGCCCAGCAGGGCCACCAAACATCCACGTTCACATCAGGTTGCCCAGGACCCCGTCCAACCTTGAACACGGCCAAGGACGGGGCATCACAACCTCCCTGGGCAGCCCGTTCCAGGGCCCAACCGCTCTCCTTGTGAAGAACTTCCCCCTAACATCCAACCGAAATCTTCCCTCCTTCAACTTGGACCCCATAGGACACCCACAGGCCACCCAGTGACCCCATAGAGCACTCCCTGACCCCACAGGCCACCCAGTGACACCACAGAGCACCCCCTGACCCCATAGGCCACCCCCTGACCCCATAGAGCACCCCATGACCCCACAGGCCACCCAGTGACACCATAGAGCACCCACTGACCCCATAGGCCACCCAGTGACACCATAGAGCACCCCCTGACCCCACAGGCCACCCAGTGACACCATAGAGCACCCACTGACCCCACAGTCCACCCAGTGACCCCACAGGCCACCCCCTGACCCCATAGAGCACCCACTGACCCCAACTTCCCCCTAACATCCAACCTCAATCTTCCCTCCCTCAACTTGGATCCATTTCCCCTCGTCCTGCTGTTCTCAGCCCTTTGGAAGAGTTGACTCCCCTCCTGGCTGTAGGTTCCCTTCAGGTATTGATAGGCTGCAATGAGGTCACCCCACAGCTTCTCTTCTCCAGGCTGAACAAAGCCCAACTCCCTCAGCCTGTCCTCATAGGGGAGGTGCTCCAGCCCCCTGCTCATCTCAGCTGCCCTCCTCTGGACCCTTTCCAACATCTCTCTGTCTTTCTTGTCCTGAGGGCTCCACACCTGGACACAGGACTCCAGGTGGGGCCTCATGAGAGCCGAGCAGAGAGGGACGATCACCTCCCTGTCCCTGCTGACCACCCCTCTCCTGATGGAGCCCAGGATCCCATTTGCCTTTCGAGCTGCCAGAGCAGCACTGCTGCCTCGTGTTCAGTCTCTCGTCCATCAGGACCCCCAGGCCCACTCCTCCCAGCCTCTACGGGTGCCTGGGGTTCTTCCGGCCCAAATGCAAAACCTCAAATGCAGAACCTCATCAGGTTCACCCGAGCCCAGCCCTCCAGCCTGTCGAGGTCCCTCTGAATGGCATCCCTTCCTTCCACCGCATCGACCGCAGCCAATGAGAAAAAGATGCTATGAAACCAAAGCCGGCCGTCGTTTTCTTACCCCCTCTCCACCAATTTTGTGTCGTTTCCAAACAACCTTCGTTACAGCAGGGGAAAGAAAACGGAGCTCCCTACCTGCAGCTTCCGTGCCATGGCCACCACCTCGTGGTCAGCAGGGTTGTATTTGTAGCAGTTGGAAAACATCAGTCGCACGTCGGCGGCGAATTCCTGAGCATCTCTGTACTCCCGGTTCTCCAGTTTGGACTGGAAAGGAGAGGAAGGGGAGAAAAAAAAGCTTTGTGCCATGAAGAGCGTGAGGGTAAGGGTGCATTCAGCACATAAATGCTGCAGTGCAATGAAGGGCTGGGACCAGCGCGGCGTGGTACTGAGTACGAGTGCTGTGTCCAGTTTTGGGCCCCTCACTGCAAGAAAGACATGGAGGGCCTGGAACGTGGTCAAAGGAGGGCAATGAAATGGTGAGGGGTCTGGAGCACAGGGCTGATGAGGAGAGGCTGAAGGAGCTGGGAATGTTCAGCCTGGAGAAGAGGAGCTCAGGGGAGACCTCACTGCTCTCTATGGCTGCCTGAAGGGAGGCTGCAGGGAGCTGGGGGTCGGCCTCTGCTCTCGTGCCATCAGGGATAGGAGCAGAGGGAACGGCTTCAAGCTACGGCAGGGGAGATTCAGGCTGGACATGAGGAAGAATTGCTGTTCAGAAAGGGTGGTCAGGCACTGGAATGGATGCACAGGGAGGTGGAGGAGGCACCGAGCCTGGGGGTGTTGAAGGAAAGGCTGGATGCTGTGCTGAGGGACGTGGTTCAGTGGGAGCTGTTGGGAATGGGGGAACGGTTGGACTGGGGGAGCTTTGAGGTCTTTTCCAACCTTGGTGATGCTATGATTCTATGTGTCCCTATGGCATCCTCATGTGTCCCTATGGAGTCCCCATGTGTCCCTATGGCATCCCCATGTGTCCCTATGGAGTCCCCATGTGTCCCTATGGCATCCCCATGTGTCCCTATGGCATCCTCATGTGTCCCTATGGAGTCCCCATGTGTCCCTATGGCTCCCCATGTGTCCCTATGGAGTCCCCATGTTTCCCTATGGCATCCCCATGTGTCCCTATGGAGTCCCCATGTGTCCCTATGGCATCCCCATGTGTCCCTATGGAGTCCCCATGTGTCCCTATGGCTCCCCATGTGTCCCTATGGAGTCCCCATGTGTCCCTATGGAGTCCCCATGTGTCCCTATGGCTCCCCCCGTGTCCCTATGGCAGCCCCATGTTGTGCTGAGGGACGTGGTTCAGTGGGAGCTGTTGGTAAGAGGTGAACGGTTGGACTGGAGGAGGTTTTAGGTCTGTTCCAACCTTGGGGATTCTATGATTCTATGTGGTGGCACCTGATGGGGATTGGGAAGCCTGTAAGCACCACTGAGTTTCTGCCTGGAAGGAATTGCAGCAGGTCTGCAATAAATGGAGCAGACTGAGGGCATCTCTGCTGGTGATTTGGGGTGTGGAGGACAGGGCGACCCTCAGGGCACTTCTGGGACGAGCTGGGATTGCTCACTGAAGCCCTGGTGGGACTCGAGCCCTGCAGACCCCATGTATTTCTCAGCAAAACCCATCGGGGTCAGCTCAGTGCAGCACGTTTCCTTTGAGGAAGACTTCTTTGTGCCCACGGGCCATTAAAGGAAAGAGTTTTAAGATGGGGGGACGGCCCTTCGCTTTGCAAAGAAGCCTTTTCTGCCTCTGCAGCCCCACCAACAAAACAAAGGGGGCAGAGAAATGGGTCGGACGGTGCTGCAGAGGGACGAGCTGAGCCCTGAGCACAGCAACAGGAGGGAGGGAGGATTGGCTCCTCTCCTTATAAACCCAACCCCAAACTGCTCACAGAGCCAAGAAGGGAGGGAGAGACTTCCAGACAGCTTTGGGATGGGGGGCAACGTGGATTGATCTGCAGGTGTGGGTTTAGAATTGGAGGCTGCAGGCCTTGGGCAGAGCAAAGCAGCTCTGCTTAACAGCAGATGGACGGGGACAGGGAACAGCAGAAACACAGGGGCTCGTTTTAAGGGGGGGGGGGAGGATGTTTTAAGGGGAGGGGGAATGTTTTAAGGGGGGAGAATGCTTTAAGGGGGGGGATGTTTTAAGGGGAGGGGGGAAAGTTTCCTAAGGGCCCTTCTGGATGGATGAGGGGTTGTGGGTTTTTTTCGTCTCTTCTCTTTTGCTTCCCAATGTCAGCACAGTATGGGAAGCCTGAGGTCAAATCCTGCTGGCAGGCAGCAAAACTGCTGGGAAAACGACTCATTTTCTGTGCAATCCACACCTCAGCCCCCAAACCCTAAACCTAACCCTAACCCTAACCCAAATCCTAACCCAAACCCTAACCCTAACCCTAACCCAAACCCTACCGTAACCCTCTAACCCTAATTCTAACCCAAACCCTAACCCTAACCTTAACCCTAACCCTACCCTAACCCTCTAACCCTAACCCCTAACCCTAATCTTCTAACCCTCTAACCCTAACCCTATCCTAACCCTAAACCCTAACCCTATCCTAACCCTAACTCTCTGACCCTAACTCTCTAACCCTAACCCCTAACCTTAACCCTAACCCTAAACCCTAACCCTACCCCTCTAACCCTACCGTAACCCTCTAACCCTAACCCTAACCCTAACCCTAATCCTAACCCTAACCCTACCCTAACCCTTTAATACCCTAACCCTAACCCTCTAACCCTAACACTAATCCTTACCCTACCTTAACCCTAACCCTAACCCTAACCCTAATCCTTACCCTACCTTAACCGAAACCCAAACCCAAACCCAAATCCTAACCCAAACCCTAACCCAAACCCTGACCCTAACCCTAACCCTAACCCTACCCTAACCCTCACCCTAACCCTTTAATACCCTAACCCTAACCCTCTAACCCCAACCCTAATCCTTACCCTACCTTAACCCTAACCCTAACCCTAACCCAAACCCTAACCCAAACACAAATCCTAACCCAAACCCTAACCCTTACCCTCTAACCCTAACCTTAACCCTAACCCTAACCTTAACCCTAACCCTACCCTAATCCTGTAACCCTAACCCTAACCTTAACCCTAACCCTACCCTAACCCTCTAATACCCTAACCCTAACCCTCTAACCCTAACCCTCTAACCCTAATCCTTACCCTACCTTAACCCTACCCCTACCCTAATCCTCTAACCCTAACCTTAACCCTAACCTTAACCCTAACCCTACCCTAACCCTCACCCTAACCCTACCCTAACCCTCTAATACCCTAACCCTCTAACCCTAACCCTAATCCTTACCCTACCTTAACCCTAACCCTAACCCTAACCCAAACCCAAATCCTAACCCAAACCCTAACCCTAACCCTCTAACCCTAATCCTAACCCTAACCCTAACCCTCTAACCCTCTAACCCTAACCCTACCCTAACCCTCTAATACCCTAACCCTAACCCTCTAACCCTAATCCTTACCCTACCTTAACCCTCCCCCTACCCCTACCCCTACCCGTACCACCCAGCTTACTTTGATCGTGCTCAGATCCATGGGATGCTTAATGATATCGCAGTAATCGTGCAGCCCCAGTGCTTCTACATCCACGGGTTTGTAGAAGGGCCAGGCGTAGGCCGCGTGCTTCTTGGCAAACATCTCCTTGATGATGCCGCTGCAGTACTTCAGCTGCTCCGACACTTTGCTGCTCTTTTCTACCGTGTGCTGTTGGGAATCTGGGACGTCCTTCTTTGGGGGCTTCACCGGGCGGCTGCTTTCCCTCCGCGGGCCCAGTTTGGTGGATTTGGGTTCGGTGGGCAGCGAGGACGATTCGTGGATCGGGTCGATGGTGGTCGGCGTGGTGGTGTCTGCTTTCCTCTTCACTCCTTTTTTCGTCTGCAATCGAGGGAAGAAATTCACCGTTAGCGAAACCTGCAAGGCTCCCCGCGGCGCGACTTCGCTTTGCCACCGCGGGTGACCCAAAACCTAAGGGCTGGGAGCTGCAGATTTCCACGTTTACTTCAGGAGCTCTGCAGAAAACCACGTGGATTCGCTCTGTCGTGTGAGGAAGGTCAGCAGCGCCGCTCGCTTTGGCGAGGTTTGCTGCTGAGTCACGGAGGACTGAAAAATTAGGTTTCGAGGGGACGAGCTCCACGCAAAGCTGGGCAGAATCCATCGAGTCTGAGTGAACTGTGCCCAAGAGGGGTCACCAAAGGGCCCCCCTCTACTCAGCTGAGAGGAGGGAGCAATTTCCAACTTGGAACTGTAGAATGGCTTGGGTTGGAAGGGATCTTAAAGACCACAGAAGCGTGGAAAAACCACGTTGAGTGGGACCTCAAAGGTCAATGGAACCACGGAATGGGTTGGGATGGGTTGGAAGGGTCTTTGAAGGTCACAGAATGGTTGGGTTGGAAGGGACCTTAAAGACCATAGGACCATAAAACCGATGGGTTGGAAAGGTAAAGATCATAGAAGCATGGAATGAGTTGGTTAAGTTGTGACCTTAAAGATCATATCATCCTAGAATTGTCGGCTTGGAAGGGACCTTGAACACCACACAACCATGGAGAGACAGGGCTGGAAGGGACCTTAAGGACCATGGAACCATGGGATGGGTTGGATGGGTCCTTGAAGATCACAGAATGATGGAATGGTTGGGTTGGAAGGGACCTTAGGGATCATGAAACCATGGGATGGGTTGGATGGGTCCTTGAAGATCACAGAAGGATGGAATGGTTGGGTTGGGAGGGACCTTGAAGATCACAGAAGGATGGAATGGTTGGGTTGGATGGGTCCTTGAAGATCACAGAATGATGGAATGGTTGGGTTGGAAGGGACCTTAGGGATCATGGAACCATGGGATGGGTTGGGTTGGATGGGTCCTTGAAGATCACAGAATGATGGAATGGTTGGGTTGGGAGGGACCTTAAAGACCATAGGACCATAAAATCGATGGGTTGGAAAGGTAAAGATCATAGAAGCATGGAATGAGTTGGTTAAGTTGTGACCTTAAAGATCATATCATCCTAGAATTGTCGGCTTGGAAGGGACCTTAAACACCACACAACCATGGAGAGACAGGGCTGGAAGGGACCTTAAGGACCATGGAACCATGGGATGGGCTGGGTTGGGTCCTTGAAGATCACAGAAGGATGGAATGGGTTGGGTTGGATGGGTCCTTGAAGATCACAGAAGGATGGAATGGGTTGGGTTGGATGGGTCCTTGAAGATCACAGAAGGATGGAATGGTTGGGTTGGGAGGGACCTTGAAGATCATAGAAGGATGGAATGGTTGGGTTGGATGGGTCCTTGAAGATCACAGAACAATGGAATGGTTGGGTTGGAAGGGACCTTAGGGATCATGAAACCATGGGATGGGTTGGATGGGTCCTTGAAGATCACAGAATGATGGAATGGTTGGGTTGGAAGGGACCTTAGGGATCACGGAACCATGGGATGGGTTGGATGGGTCCTTGAAGATCACAGAAGGATGGAATGGTTGGATGGGACCTTAGGGATCATGGAACTGTGGGATCACAGTATGGTGATCCCATTTGCTGGAAGGGCCCCTCAGCCTTTCCTCGCAGCAGAGCTGCTCCAGCCCTTTGAGTAGGAAGGAAAATAGGAATCTTTTGAGCAAACTGAGGCCGTCTGCCCTAAACCAAAAACGGATGGCACTGCAGATGTCTCCACCCCAAGCACTCACCTTGACGGGCTGAGCAGGCGTGGGGATGACGGGGGGGTGAGGCTGGATGGGCTGGGGGGTCGGGGCCGGCGGGGCGGGGGTCTGGGGGGCCGGCGGAGGCGGCACCGGGGGCTGTGGAGGCACCATCGTCATCACGGGCGTCGGGACGATGAGGTCAGGGGTGACAGCAGGGAAGGAATGGGTGGTCTGTGCGGCCTGGAGGTTCTGCTGTGGGGCCTGAGTCTGGGCTGGGGACGAGGCCTGGGTTGTGTTCTGTACCGTGGATGATCCTGGCTTGGATGTCACTGCGGGAGGAAAAGGAAGAAATCGTCCATTCTCTCTGTCCCTCTCCAGGCTTAACGGGAAAACAATGTTTCGTAACGAGTGAAAGAGCGTTGCTCATTAGATAATGAATGCTTTGCAGAGCCTGCTCTTGAGCAACCTGTCAGGGACAAAAACACTCCTCACGTTTTCCTCTACAGCTTGTTGGGTGAGATGGTGACGAAGCCCAGGACCTCGCTCACCGAAACCACGCCAGGAAAGGAGCGAGGAGCAGCCCTGAGGCGTCCTCCTCTCCTCTCCTTTTCCTTCCAGGAGTTCTCCTAGGGGCCGATGGTTGCCCACGAGCCAGCAGTGCGCCCTCGTGGCCAGGAAGGTCAATTGTGGCCGAGTGATCAGTGGTTGACCAACAGCTGACCACGAGCCGGCAGTGCGCCCTGAAGGCCAAGGAGGCCAATGGCAGCCAACGGATTGACCAGTGGTTGACCAACAGGTTGACCAGTGGTTGACCAACAGTTGACCAGTGGTTGACCAACAGTTGACCAGTGGTTGAGTGGCAGCTGATCACGAGCCAGCAGGGCGCCCTGGTGGCCAAGAAGGCCAACAGAACCCTGGGATGCTTTGCCCAAAGCGTGGCCAGCTGGGTGCTCTGCACTGGGGAGGCCCCGTCTGGAGCACTGGGCCCAGTGCTGGGCTCCCCAGGTCAGGGCTGATGGGGAACTGAGCCCAGCAGAGGCTGCGGAGATGCTGGGGGCCTGGAGCACCTCCTGGTGGGGACAGGCTGAGAGGCCTGGGGCTGTGCAGCTGGGGAGGAGACTGAGAGGGATCTGAGAGGGTGGGGGGCAGCAGGATGGGGCTGGGCTGCGTTTGGTGGGCCCTAGTGACAAGACAGGGGCACTGGGCACACACTGCTGCCTCGTGGTCAACTGCTGGTCAACCTGTTGGCCACCACTGAGGTCAACTTGTTGGCCACCGTTGGCCTTCTTGGCTACCAGGGCACAGTGCTGGCTCACGGTCAACTGTTGGTCACCACTGGTCAACCTGTTGACCATTACTGGCCCCTATTGGCTACCAGGACCCACTTGGGCTCACGGTCAATTGTTGGTCGACCACTGGTCAACCTGTTGACCATTACTGGCCCCTACTGGTTACTAGGACCCACGTGGGCTCAACGGTCAACTGTTGGCCACCACTGGTCAACCTGTTGACCATTACTGGCCCCTATTGGCTACCAGGACCCACTTGGGCTCACAGTCAACTGCTGGTCACCACTGGTCAACCTGTTGACCATTACTGGCCCCTATTGGCTACCAGGACCCACTGGGGCTTACAGTCAACTGTTGGCCACCACTGGTCAACCTGTTGACCATTACTGGCCCCTATTGGCTACCAGGACCCACTTGGGCTCAACGGTCAACTGTTGGTCACCACTGGTCAACCTGTTGACCATTACTGGCCCCTATTGGCTACCAGGACCCACTTGGGCTCACGGTCAACTGTTGGTCACCACTGGTCAACCTGTTGACCATTACTGGCCCCTATTGGCTACCAGGACCCACTGGGGCTCACAGTCAACTGCTGGTCACCACTGGTCAACCTGTTGACCATTACTGGCCCCTATTGGCTACCAGGACCCACTTGGGCTCACGGTCAACTGCTGGTCACCACTGGTCAACCTGTTGACCATTACTGGCCCCTATTGGCTACCAGGACCCACTGGGGCTCACGGTCAACTGTTGGTCACCACTGGTCAACCTGTTGACCATTACTGGCCCCTATTGGCTACCAGGACCCACTGGGGCTCACGGTCAACTGTTGGTCACCACTGATCAACCTGTTGACCATTACTGGTCCCTATTGGCTACCAGGACCCACTGGGGCTCACGGTCAACTGTTGGTCACCACTGGTCAACCTGTTGACTATTACTGGTCCCTATTGGCTACCAGGACCCACTGGGGCTCACGGTCAACTGCTGGTCACCACTGGTCAACCTGTTGACCATTACTGGCCCCTATTGGCTACCAGGACCCACTTGGGCTCACGGTCAACTGCTGGTCACCACTGGTCAACCTGTTGACCATTACTGGCCCCTATTGGCTACCAGGACCCACTGGGGCTCACGGTCAACTGTTGGCCACCACTGGTCAACCTGTTGACCATTACTGGCCCCTATTGGCTACCAGGACCCACTGGGGCTCACAGTCAACTGTTGGTCACCACTGGTCAACCTGTTGATCATTACTGGCCCCTATTGGCTACCAGGACCCACTGGGGCTCACAGTCAACTGTTGGTCACCACTGGTCAACCTGTTGATCATTACTGGCCCCTATTGGCTACCAGGACCCACTTGGGCTCACAGTCAACTGTTGGTCACCACTGGTCAACCTGTTGACCATTACTGGCCCCTATTGGCTACCAGGACCCACTGGGGCTCACGGTCAACTGTTGGTCAACCGTTGGCCACCAGGACCCCCAGGTCCTTCCCACAGCTCAGCCCCAACCCAGACGGATGCTGCGTCGTTCCTCCAGAGGTGCAGAAGCCTCCGGTGATGGCAGCCACCCCTCCCAGCTCTGCTCCACCACCAAACACGTTCCAACCCCGCGCCCTGCTCACTGCTGGAGACGTGGAACACGCCTGGCCCCAATAGCAGCCCCCAGCTGTGGCTGAGTGCCATACCTGCTTCCTTCCGCGCGCGTCCTCTCCCTTTTGTCTGGGCTATAACGATTTCAGTTTCTTCCTGCGTCATTTCGGAGATTTTCTGCAGGAAGAGCTTTTCTAGAGCTTCTGCCATTAAGACTATGTCATCTCCTGGCTGGAGGAATGAGAGAGAACAAATCAGGCAGGGCACATCTCTGCAAGGACTGCTACATCTAAACAAACCAAGATCGCCACAAAGATTTTGCCCGCGCTTTTTTCTCCGTTTCACACCAAACTTAATCATAAAGACCAATTAAAAACGAAACAGGAACAATTCGGGGTGATTTTTTGTGAGGTTGGGATGTGGAATTCGGACTGCAAACTGTAATCCTTATCATCTCCCAGCTCTGCAAGTCCTGTAGCTTTCGAACACGGCGATCTTTCTTGGCCCTGCTTCCATTGCCACACAGCCATCCTGAGCACACAGCAAGGAACAAGAAGAGTCCTTGTCCTGCAGTGCTGTAAAGGAGAGACGAGGGGCAGGGAGCTGTGCAGGGTGCATAAGGGCTGATGGCAGGATAAACTGAGCTGTGCTGATCAGTGCAGGCAGTGCTGCTGTTTTCTGGATGGAGGGAGGAGGAGAAAGAGAAGAGGGGTGCATAAGGGGTGATGGCAGGATAAACTGAGCTGTGCTGATCAGTGCAGGCAGTGCTGCTGTTTTCTGGATGGAGGGAGGAGGAGAAAGAGAAGAGGGGTGCATAAGGGGTGATGGCAGGATAAACTGAGCCATGCAGGCAGTGCTGCTGTTTTCTGGATGGAGGGAGGAGGAGAAAGAGGGGAAAAGTGGGAAATGAGGTGGAAACTCTTCGCTGCGAGGGCGGTGCGGCGCTGGCACTGCTGCCCAGAGCTGTGGGTGCTCCATCCCTGGAGGTGCCTGAGGCCATCCATCATCCTGTGCTTCTGCCACCTTTCTGCGCTCTCCCAATGCAGCCCGCTGCATCATTCTGTGGTCTTTAGGTCCTTTCCAAACCAACAGATTCCACCTTTCCACGGTTCTGTGATCTCCAAGGCTCCTCATAACCCAAAGCCGTGCTGCCATTCCACAAAAAGAAGACTCAGCGTCCCTACAGGCTGTCATTTCCCCCTGACTTTGCATCCCTCAGCAAAGCACCCGTGTGGGAGGAAGATGGAAGACGACAGCATCAGCTGCGAAGGAAATGCATCCCATGCACTGGGGAAGGAGAAGAAGTGAAGGAGGAGGACGGCTGGTGGGGACGGGGGAGATCAACACCTTCACAAGTCCTTGCAGGCCGGGAGCAGGAAGCTCCATTTGCAAAGGCCAAGGGAGGTGTGAAGGATGGTGGTGAGAGGACGCATCCTTTGGAAGTGCTCTGCAGCGGCGCAGCTGCAAACTGCAAAGCTGGGCATCAACACTTCATTGACGAGCTCTGAATTAATTGCCATGAGTGCACGGCACAGGGTTGGATGTTTGCTCTGAAACACGATGGGAAATGATGAGAACGGGAAGAACCGGCCAGGAATCCAATGCAAAAGGCACCAACAAGGCCTGGCAGCTGCTCTGAAGGCTTGTTTCGCAGCGAAGGAGGGCATCCAAGAGCCCAACGAGAGCCAGGCCTGATGGAGGATGAGAAATGGTGACAGTCTGCAGGCTCTGCGTGGTCCAAAAGCCATTTCTTGAGTAAAGCAGAGAATGGAGAACTGGGAAGGGTGAGGGAGAAAGGAATGGGAAGGCGCTGCAGTGGGAAAATGGGGGAGATGTGGGAATGTGGCAGCAAATAATGCAGACACGGATGGTTTGAAGCCTTCAGAGCTTCATTCCAGCTGCACTGTGTTGGCTCAAAGCAGAGAAGGCAAAGGCCACGAGCATTACTTGGAAGGACCAGAACAGGACAAGAATGTAAAACCCAAATATCTGCAGTAACAAGCAGTGCCTGCCGGGGCCTGAAGTTGTTGTGGGTGAAAGAGGGAGCGCAAACCTTGGGAAGCAACCCCCAGTGCTCAGCGTGGGCACGAAGGAGGAGCTTTGAGGAAGAAGAAGAGACTTTGGGGAGTGAGGAGTGGAGGAAAGGAACCACGGAGCTGCCTGCCAACCCTCCAGCGAGCGGCCATGGAGCTGAACAACACATCTGGAACCAACTGGGTCTTGTGCAACGTTTCTGAGAGGAGGAAGAGGAGGAGAACGCGGCCAAATGGAGGGTGAAGCACCAGGGAGAAGAGCTGGGAGGAACGGGGAGGGCAGGAGCTGAGACGGGGCTGAACGGGGCCAGGGCTGCAGGAACGCCGCGCTGGCTGCTGCTCTGAGGACAGCAGCAAACTCCCCACTGGGGGCCGTTGCTCCCTGGTTCCTTGGCAGACGAGGCTCTGCAGCACCTCCAGCTCCGAGCAGCGTCTTCCTGGCACAGCCTCTGTCGATTTGCTGCTTTCCCATCTTCGCACAGCACCCAAAGGCTGCGCGGATGCTCAGCTCCTTTCCCCAGCCCATCGGCGGTGAACGCCGCGCTCCCTCAATTCCACATCCCCTCCCTGCACCCCCGCTGGTTCCGTAACTGTTTACACAGTGCTTTCCAGGATCTTTCTGCTGTCTGGAGGGGAATCTTCTGCAGTGCAATGGAAGCAGAGCCGGGCAGGACACCGCTCCAGGCACTGCTGTTTTTTTCCCCCACGTCAAAGTTAGGAGCTCCAAAGCAGGCAGCCACAATTTGGCTTTTCACAGAGCTACAAACAACACAATGGACCTGCGGAGCCTGCAGAGACCAGCAGATCCCCTCTGAAAACGCAGAGGAGCTCATCGTACCTTGTTGTAGATGTAACAGTTTGTAAACATCGTGTTAAAATCCTGGATACATTCTTGAGCATTCCAGTAGTAGTTATTCTCCAAGCGTTTCTTTATTGTTCCCATGTCCATCGGCGTTTTAATTATCTTATAATAATCCTGCAGAGGGCAGAGAGGCACAGAGATAAGGATGGGATCCTTATTATCCCCAAACTCAGCTACAAGAGGATCCAACCCCCCCACCCCCAGGCCACTGTCTGAGCCCCTCTGCTGTCATTTATTGGGCAAACGCCACGGAACACAGCAGGGAAAGGTGAGTGGGGAAAGGTGAGGGGTGATGCTGTGCTTTCCTCAGGGCTTCTGTGTGATTCCCCTCTCAGGGCCACAGCCACAGACCCAGCATTGGCTGGGTGGGATCATCGTGGGGCTGAGGAATGGCTGAAGATCCAACTCGGAACGACTGACCCTGAGGTCGCGCAGCCACACGTGGAGAAGGGAGGAAATAAGATTCGCTTTCAGCCCCTTAAAAGCATCCAGATGACACGAAGGAAGGTGCTGCTATTTTTAGGGAGGACTGGAAACGCCGTTGCTATAGAAGCAAAGCTGTCTGTGGGGTTCTGCTGCCAAGAAATCCGACAGCTCAGGTGTTGCATCGTGGAGAACCGCTCACCTCCTCTCTGCTCTGCGCTGGGGAGGCCCCACCTGGAGCACTGGGCTCAGTGCTGAGCCCCCCAGCTCAGGGCAGGTGGGGAACTGGCTGGAAAGGACTCCCTCTGTTCCTCCTCCACCCCCACAGGAAGAACCAGAACCACATAAAGCCAAATAAACAGAGCCCCCAAAGCCCTCAATGCTTTGAGAGCGTTCTAAAAGATCCCAAAATGTGAACTGGAACCCAAAGCATCAGCTGCGCCGGGCCACAGCCAGGCTGGAGCTCCTGTCCCCATTCCTGGGTGTCTGAGGACATCAGTGCTTTGCTGCTTTTCCTAAGAGGAAAACTGACGTGTGCCACGGTTTGTTCAGGGGCATTTTTAATGGGATTTCAATGGACGGAGCCCTGGAACAGAGAAGTGGTTGCGTCTCCTTCTCTGGAGAGCTCCAAGCCCCCTGCACTGCAGGGAATCATAGAACCATAGAATCACCAAGGTTGGAAAAGACCTCAAAGCTCCCCCAGTCCAACCGCTCACCTCTTACCAACAGCTCCCACTGAACCACGTCCCTCAGCACAACATCCAGCCTTTCCTCCAACACCCCCAGGCTCGGTGCCTCCTCCACCTCCCTGTGCATCCATTGCAGTGCCTGACCACCCTTTCTGAACAGCAATTCTTCCTCATGTCCAGCCTGAATCTCCCCTGCCGTAGCTTGAAGCCGTTCCCTCTGCTCCTATCCCTGATGGCACGAGAGCAGAGGCCGACCCCCAGCTCCCTGCAGCCTCCCTTCAGGCAGCCATAGAGAGCAGTGAGGTCTCCCCTGAGCTCCTCTTCTCCATGCTGAACATTCCCAGCTCCTTCAGCCTCTCCTCATCAGCCCTGTGCTCCAGACCCCTCACCATTTCATTGCCCTCCTTTGACCATGTTCCAGGCCCTCCATGTCTTTCTTGCAGTGAGGGGCCCAAAACTGAACCCAGCACTCGAGGTGCGGCCTCACCAGTGCTGAGTACAGGGGAACAATCACCTCTCTGCTCCTGCTGGCCATTTCTGATGCAGGCCAGGCTGCCCTTGGCCCTCTTGGCCACCTGGGCACACTGTGGGCTCATGTTCAGCTGAGCATCAATCAATACCCCAGGGAGTCGCTTTGGGGAGCTTGGAATGGGGAAACTCCAGATTCCAACCCCAATGGCTCTGGGTTCCCATCACCCTTCAAGCCAAACCATCAGCTGAACTCAGCAAAGCCTCAGCACCTCCTTCCTAAAGGCTCCCTTTGGCACAAAGGTGAACGCCCGCCCTTCTCCGTCTACTCACGGGGAGGTTCAGCTTGACAGCATCCACGGGCTGCTGGAAAGGCCACGCAAACTGGTGCTTCCATAGCGTTTTGAGCACCACTTTGAGCAGGTACTGCAGCTGGTTGGTCTGCCGCTTGGGTTTGTTGGGGTTGGAGGTCTCTGGAGGAGGGGGGTTGACGCCGACGGTGCTGCCTTGCTGCGGTTGCGCCTGCGCCTGCGCTGTCGACATCTGGGTGGCTTCGAGGCCGTCGCCCATCACTGGCAGATTTCTCAGTCTCGTCCCGGGGCCGCTCTCTGCAGACATGCTATTGATCCCATTGCATTCCTCACCAGACACCCTGCAAGAGAGAAAGGGGAAGGGTCAACTCCCGGCTTCGCTGGAACGGCTGCGGAGCTGCTTACAAAGAAGTAGGGTGGGTTTGGTGAGGTTGGCTCTGTGCTTTGCAGCTGTGTGAGGGAGCACAGCGACCAAACCGTGCCAGGATTCTGCACCCCGGGGCAAGAAAGGGTGTTGTGAGGCCTTGTTTGCTGCCTCACCCAGCAATCAGCCCCATAGGGAGCGCTGGTTCCAGCCTTGTTCTCACCTCATCTGCTCAACGTGCTCCAGTAGCAACTTTGCTAGGGGGCAAAGGAGGCTCAAAGGAGCAAAGCTGTGTGCACAGAGCTTCAGCTCCGGCCAAAACCCAAAGGTTTGGTTCAGCTGGAAGGGCACAAGAGGTGTTCATTCAGTTCAGTCCATTGCAGCGCTGCAGCTGCCCCCCACCACGCCAGCTCCCCCCAACTGCGATGCTCAATTCCTTTCCTTAGGCCAGCGCTGAGCTCCTGCAGCGCATCACAGGAGCCACGCAGCACAACCGCGCAGCCCACAACCACGCAGACCCCCCTCTGCTTTTGCCACGTCACTCCAACATCATCCTGAAGGCCAAGAAATCGATAACAACGCGTTTCTGTCGGCTCGGAGGCGTTGTTGCAGGCCTTCACTCAGCCCGTCTGCCTTTAGAAGCAATGGGAACCAAGTCCTGACCATGAACTCGCACCCTGACCGACTGAGCACGCCCCGAAGCTGCGCTGTTGGTCCCTCTCACTGTTTTCAGGGTGTTTGTTTTTCACCCTGGGCAAACGGAGCAGCTGAAGCTTAGCATTAAAGACAACAGTGCAGTTTGGTGCAAAGATTGAGCTCAGCGGGAGCTCTGCCGTTCCAATGTACCTGGGGAAAGCGAGGGAGGCACCTGCAGCCCTTGGACGCAGCCCTTGGGGTCACCGGGTGCTTTTTCAGCTGTCTGACAGCTGCTGTTCTCAGCTCTGTGCCACCTGGATGCCCCCATCTGTGCCGAGGTGCTGGCAAGCATCTGAGCTCAGTCGCGTGCCGCTTTTCTGCCCCGTTAACACAGTGACCTGCCTGCACACACAGCGGGATTTGGGACGCAAGGCGGATTTGTGCTCGTTGCCAAATCCCTCCGATTTTGCCTCTGAGCTGCGCTGAGCCGAGGCTGGGATGCGTGGCATGAGGGCCCTTCCCTGTGTGACAGCTGGCGGCCAAGCAAAAGGAATCCTCTGTACTCACTGCAGGGGCTACGTTACCTTGTAGGATACATTGCCATACAATTTTGCCCCAGAAAATGATGCAGGGTCAGAAGTTGCTTGGCTTGTCCATCTATCTTCCGTGGCTTCAGGCACAAATGCCTTTAGATAGAGTATCTGATGAAACAAACAAAGCAATTAATCGGAGGCGTCGGTGGGAGGCATCAGAAACGAAGGCACCTCCGCAGGTCCTGCCTTTGGCACGCAGCTCAAGTCCAGCCCCGGCTGCGAGCAAAGCAAAAGGGGCCTGCAGACACCTTTGGGTCTCTGCCGGCAGAAGTGAGGGGTGGGAGCTGCTGCTGGGGGCTCCTCCTCCGATCCCTCACCTCCAGTCCCACCATCGGCTCTGCTCCCTCTCACAGCAGCCCTCCGAGAGCCAAAGGTCAGAGGGAGCCGAGGGCTTTTGCTAAGCAAACAGGTCCTGAATGCTTTCACTGCCTCCAGTCGCACTCAGCGTCGCTTCCAGTCCCACCTTCCGCCCTCCTTCTGCCCTTCTGTCCTCTCGGGGGATCCCAGCAGCTCTTCCTGTTCCAAGCAGATGAGCTGCACATAAACCACCCTCCTTCCTTCCTCAGCTCTCCCAGCCATAAGGGAGACCCAGAGCTGCAGGGAACACCGTAAGTGAGGTGCAAACTGCACAGCGTGGATCCCCTGCTATCAGATGCAGCGCACTGCAATGCATGGGATCGCAGTAAGGTTGCACAGCACGTTGCTGCAGCACAAAAACTATAGGATAAGGCATCATTTATGCCCACACAACCTGTAATGTGGCACTGCAGGACAGAAACTAAGATAGAATAGAGATTAAGATACTTTATGCCTACGTGATCGGTACAAACAGGCAACGCAGCACTATAATGCATGAGCTACAGAATAAAGTACAGCCTGCCCCTGTATCGTATGGAACGCAGCGCTGTGAGACGTGGAGCAACGTGCTTCATCCCTGTATATCGAGTGATACAGCACTGCAATAAATAAACTGGGGATTGAGTGGTAATCTATGCCTGTATAAGGAGTGATACAGCACTGCAATAAATAAATTGTGAATAGAGTGATAATCTATGCCTGTATAATAAGAAATATAGCACTGTAATAAATAAACTGGGGATTGAGTGATAATCTATGCCTGTGTAACGAGTAATATAGCACTGTAATAAATAAACTATGGATTGAATGATAATCTATGCCTATATAATAAGAAATATAGCACTGTAATAAACAAACTGTGGATTGAGTGATAATCTATGCCTGTATAATGAGTGATACAGCACTGCAGTGCATGAACTGGGGATTGAGTGATAATCTATGCCTCTATAATGAGTAATATGGCACTGTAATAAATAAACTATGTATTGAGTGATAATCTATGCCTGTGTAACGAGTGATACAGCACTGCAGTGCATGAACTGGGGATTGAGTGATAATCTATGCCTGTATAATGAGTAATATAGCACTGTAATAAATAAACGATGGATTGAATGAAAATCTATGCCTATATAATAAGAAATATAGCAATGTAATAAACAAACTGTGGATTGAGTGATAATCTATGCCTGTATAATGAAAAATATAGCACTGCAATAAATAAACTATGGATTGAGTGATAATCTATGCCTGCATAACGAGCAATATAGCACTGCAGTGCATGAACTATGGATTGAGTGATAATCTAAGCCTACATAATGAGTAATATAGCACTGCAGTGCATGAACTAGAGAGCAGTGCATTATTTATTCCCACGTAATAAGTAATAGAGGGCTATAACACAAAACTATGGGGCAATGCGTTACCTATGGCTACGTAACACACAGCACAGCACTGTAACACAGAAAACACGGCTTAAGGGATGATCCAAACCCAAAGAGCGTGTAGTACAGCACAGAAATGCAAGATAAATGCCCCTATAGCATGTATATAGCACAGAAATGCAAGATAAATGCCCCCTATAGCAGGTATATAGCACAGAAATGCAAGATAAATGCCCCTATAGCATGTATATAGCACAGAAATGCAAGATAAATGCCTCCTATAGCATGTATATAGCACAGAAATGCAAGATAAATGCCTCCTATAGCATGTATATAGCACAGAAATGCAAGATAAATGCCTCCTATAGCATGTATATAGCACAGAAATGCAAGATAAATGCCCCCTATAGCATGTATATAGCACAGAAATGCAAGATAAATGCCTCCTATAGCATGTATATAGCACAGAAATGCAAGATAAATGCCCCCTATAGCATGTATATAGCACAGAAATGCAAGATAAATGCCCCCTATAGCATGTAGATAGCACAGAAATGCAAGATAAATGCCTCCTATAGCATGTAGATAGCACAGAAATGCAAGATAAATGCCTCCTATAGCATGTATATAGCACAGAAATGCAAGATAAATGCCCCCTATAGCATGTAGATAGCACAGAAATGCAAGATAAATGCCTCCTATAGCATGTATATAGCACAGAAATGCAAGATAAATGCCTCCTATAGCATGTATATAGCACAGAAATGCAAGATAAATGCCTCCTATAGCATGTAGATAGCACAGAAATGCAAGATAAATGCCTCCTATAGCATGTATATAGCACAGAAATGCAAGATAAATGCCCCTATAGCATGTATATAGCACAGAAATGCAAGATAAATGCCTCCTATAGCATGTATATAGCACAGAAATGCAAGATAAATGCCTCCTATAGCATGTAGATAGCACAGAAATGCAAGATAAATGCCTCCTATAGCATGTATATAGCACAGAAATGCAAGATAAATGCCCCTATAGCAGGTATACAGCACAGAAATGCAAGATAAATGCCTCCTATAGCATGTAGATAGCACAGAAATGCAAGATAAATGCCTCCTATAGCATGTATATAGCACAGAAATGCAAGATAAATGCCTCCTATAGCATGTATATAGCACAGAAATGCAAGATAAATGCCCCTATAGCAGGTATACAGCACAGAAATGCAAGATAAATGCCTCCTATAGCATGTAGATAGCACAGAAATGCAAGATAAATGCCCCCTATAGCAGGTATACAGCACAGAAATGCAAGATAAATGCCTCCTATAGCATGTAGATAGCACAGAAATGCAAGATAAATGCCTCCTATAGCATGTATATAGCACAGAAATGCAAGATAAATGCCTCCTATAGCATGTATACAGCACAGAAATGCAAGATAAATGTCTCCTATAGCATGTAGATAGCACAGAAATGCAAGATAAATGTCTCCTATAGCAGGTATATAGCACAGAAATGCAAGATAAATGCCTCCTATAGCATGTAGATAGCACAGAAATGCAAGATAAATGCCCCTATAGCATGTATATAGCACAGAAATGCAAGATAAATGCCTCCTATAGCATGTAGATAGCACAGAAATGCAAGATAAATGCCCCTATAGCATGTATATAGCACAGAAATGCAAGATAAATGCCCCCTATAGCATGTAGATAGCACAGAAATGCAAGATAAATGCCTCCTATAGCATGTATACAGCACAGAAATGCAAGATAAATGCCCCTATAGCAGGTATACAGCACAGAAATGCAAGATAAATGCCCCCTATAGCATGTAGATAGCACAGAAATGCAAGATAAATGCCCCCTATAGCATGTAGATAGCACAGAAATGCAAGATAAATGCCCCTATAGCATGTATATAGCACAGAAATGCAAGATAAATGCCTCCTATAGCATGTAGATAGCACAGAAATGCAAGATAAATGCCCCTATAGCATGTATATAGCACAGAAATGCAAGATAAATGCCCCCTATAGCATGTATATAGCACAGAAATGCAAGATAAATGCCTCCTATAGCATGTATATAGCACAGAAATGCAAGATAAATGCCTCCTATAGCATGTATATAGCACAGAAATGCAAGATAAATGCCCCCTATAGCATGTATATAGCACAGAAATGCAAGATAAATGCCCCTATAGCATGTATATAGCACAGAAATGCAAGATAAATGCCTCCTATAGCATGTATATAGCACAGAAATGCAAGATAAATGCCTCCTATAGCATGTAGATAGCACAGAAATGCAAGATAAATGCCCCCTATAGCATGTATATAGCACAGAAATGCAAGATAAATGCCCCCTATAGCATGTATATAGCACAGAAATGCAAGATAAATGCCCCTATAGCATGTATATAGCACAGAAATGCAAGATAAATGCCTCCTATAGCATGTATATAGCACAGAAATGCAAGATAAATGCCCCCTATAGCATGTATATAGCACAGAAATGCAAGATAAATGCCCCTATAGCATGTATATAGCACAGAAATGCAAGATAAATGCCTCCTATAGCATGTAGATAGCACAGAAATGCAAGATAAATGCCCCTATAGCATGTATATAGCACAGAAATGCAAGATAAATGCCCCCTATAGCATGTATATAGCACAGAAATGCAAGATAAATGCCTCCTATAGCATGTATATAGCACAGAAATGCAAGATAAATGCCTCCTATAGCATGTATATAGCACAGAAATGCAAGATAAATGCCCCCTATAGCATGTATATAGCACAGAAATGCAAGATAAATGCCCCTATAGCATGTATATAGCACAGAAATGCAAGATAAATGCCTCCTATAGCATGTATATAGCACAGAAATGCAAGATAAATGCCTCCTATAGCATGTAGATAGCACAGAAATGCAAGATAAATGCCCCCTATAGCATGTATATAGCACAGAAATGCAAGATAAATGCCCCCTATAGCATGTATATAGCACAGAAATGCAAGATAAATGCCCCTATAGCATGTATATAGCACAGAAATGCAAGATAAATGCCTCCTATAGCATGTATATAGCACAGAAATGCAAGATAAATGCCCCCTATAGCATGTATATAGCACAGAAATGCAAGATAAATGCCCCTATAGCATGTATATAGCACAGAAATGCAAGATAAATGCCTCCTATAGCATGTATATAGCACAGAAATGCAAGATAAATGCCCCCTATAGCATGTATATAGCACAGAAATGCAAGATAAATGCCCCTATAGCATGTATATAGCACAGAAATGCAAGATAAATGCCTCCTATAGCATGTATATAGCACAGAAATGCAAGATAAATGCCTCCTATAGCATGTATATAGCACAGAAATGCAAGATAAATGCCTCCTATAGCATGTAGATAGCACAGAAATGCAAGATAAATGCCCCCTATAGCATGTATATAGCACAGAAATGCAAGATAAATGCCCCCTATAGCATGTATATAGCACAGAAATGCAAGATAAATGCCCCCTATAGCATGTATATAGCACAGAAATGCAAGGTTAAGGACAATCCATGCCTACATAACATGCACTGTAACACATAAAGGGCCAACCTAACCCCACACAACATGTACTATAGTACTGTAACACATACATTAAGAATTAAGGGCCAATCTAAACCTATATAACACATACTATAGCGCTACAGCACATGGATTAAAGGTTAAGGGCCAATCTAACCCCACACAACATGTACTACAGTACTGTAACACATAAATTAAGGATTAAGGGCCGATCTGATCCCATATAACACACATATAACACATAGATTAAAGATTAAGGGCCAACCTAACCACATATAGCCTGTACTATAGTAATGTAACACATAATTTACAGATCAAGGGACAATCTAAACCTATACAACATGCACTATAGTACTGTAGCACATAAATTAATGATTAAGGGACAATCTAACCCCATATACCACGCATATGACACATAAAATTAGAGATCAAGGGCTGATCTAAGCCCATGTAACATCTACTGTAACACATAAATTAAGGATTAAGGGCCAATCTAAGCCCATATATCATGTACTACAGTACTGTAACACATACATTAAGGATAAAGGGCCAATCTAATCCCATATAACACACATATAACACATAGATTAAAGATCAAGGGCCAACCTAACCCCATATAACCTGTACTATAGTACTATAACACATAAATTAAGGGTAAAGGGCCAATCTAAGCCCTTACAACATGTATATAACACATAGATTAAAGATTAAGAGCCAACCTAACCCCATACAGCCTGTACTATAGTACAATAACACATAAATTAAGGATTAAGGGCCAATCTAACCCCACACAACATGTACTACAGTACTGTAACACATACATTAAGGATTAAGGGCCAATCTGATCCCATATAACACACATATAACACATAGATTAAAGATTAAGGGCCAACCTAACCCCATATAACCTGTACTATAGTAATATAACACATAAATTAAGGATTAAGGGCCAATCTAACCCCATATAACCTGTACTACAGTACTGTAACACATAGATTAAGGATTAAGGGACAATCTAAACCCATGCAACACGTACTATAGCACATAAATGAAGGATTAAGGGCCAATCTGACCCCATACAACATATACAATAGTGTACTGTAACAGATAAATTAAGGATTAAGGGCCAATCTGAGCCCTTACAACACGTACTATAGCACATAAATGAAGGATTAAGGGCCAATCTGAGCCCACGCAATGCCCAGCACGGTGCTACAACACAGAGTGAGATGCAACTACCAACGCAACGCGAATGGGGGATTACAAACACAGCCCTACACAGCACCACGGGTTGGACACCTCGCCGATCACCGCCTCAACGCTTCGTTATCCATTAGCTTGGCTAATTAAAGACAGGCCCCCAGCATCTCCGCAGCCTCCGCTGGGCTCAGTTCCCCATCAGCCCTGACCTGGGGAGCCCAGCACTGGGCCCAGAGCTCCAGACGGGGCCTCTCCAGTGCAGAGCACCCAGCTGGCCACGCTTTGGGCAAAGCATCCCAGGGTTCTGTTGGCCTTCTTGGCCACCAGGGCGCCCTGCTGGCTCGTGATCAGCTGCCACTCAACCACTGGTCAACTGTTGGTCAACCACTGGTCAACTGTTGGTCAACCACTGGTCAGCTGTTGGTCAACCACTGGTCAGCTGTTGGTCAACCACTGGTCAACTGTTGGTCAACCACCGGTCAACTGCTGGTCAACCACTGGTCAACCTGTTGGTCAACCACTGGTCAACTGTTGGTCAACCACTGGTCAACCTGTTGGTCAGCCACTGGTCAACTGTTGGTCAACCACTGGTCAACTGTTGGTCAACCACTGGTCAACTGTTGGTCAACCACTGGTCAACTGTTGGTCAACCACTGGTCAGCTGTTGGTCAACCACTGGTCAACTGTTGGTCAACCACTGGTCAACCTGTTGGCCTCCTTGGCCTTCAGGACGCACTGCCGGCTCGTGGTCAGCTGCTGTTCAACTGTCCATCAACCTGTAGGCCGCCACTGGCATTGCTGGCCCCCAGGGCACACAGTGAGAGCAGCAGAGCAAAGCAGCGAGCAGATGGAGGGAGAAGGCAGCAGGACGTGGCGCTGACGGGGCTGCATGACTCAAAACCAACAGCTTTCCCCATCCTACTCTCATCTTTTACCCACGGTGACGCATTCGCACGGCGTCCTGTGGACATGACTCAAACTTCAGGCTATTTCCACCCTCCAGAAGAGCAAAGCTTGCAGCGAGCGGAGGAGACGCGATGCTTGCTCTGTCCTCCAGCCCAGTATTGACAGCAGCTGCTCTTTTCCTGGAAAGAGCGCTTCCCCCCTCTCTCCTGTTTTATTTCTTGCTGCTCGTTAGCAAAAAAAAAGGCTCCAAGGTCAGTGTGTGTGGTTAAAGCAAGGGCTTTCCCACAGGAGACTGCAGGAAGCCAATCACCACCCGTGCCTGCGTTACGTCCTGCAGGGAACATTCCTCCCACCGCGAGCCTGCCAAAGAATTCAGGTGCCAATGCCAACCAGGGACCTTTAAAGCTGAAGTCACGCAATAACAATAGTTGGTATCTGGGGGAGTTTTCCAGCTGTTCCCAAGCACTTTGTGGCAGCCTCACCAGATACGGAACGCGTTGGGAGGAGCGAATTATCTGTGAGAAGGCACTGAAAAGACGTCCAGCAGAACGCAGGCGAGATGGGAAGCGAGTGGCTCCCAGGTCAGCCTGGGTTGGATGCTCTAAAATGCCAGAAAAGCGGCCCAAGATGCGGCCAGTCCCAAATCACAGCCCCACGGCGTGGAGCTTCGCACCCCACCACCATCAGCTGCTGCAGCACGGGGGGCTGAAGCTGGCTGTGAAGTTATGAGGACAATAAACCGGACCCAAGGGCAGCGTGGCTCCGGTCAGAGCACAGCTTAGAGAGCAGCGACCCCCGAGCTCCCACTGCCCTCCATGCCACCTTTTCTCCTCTCCGTCCCCCAGCGGAGGCATTTCTGACCCCAAAGCAGGGAACGGGCCGCCCCCTGCCCCGCAGGCAGCACGCACTGTGTTGCACTGAGGAGAACTCGCGGGCTTTACCTTAAATCCTTCGACCCTTCGAGGTGTCGGGTGCTGCTCCTTCACCAGCCAAGCCCTCCCACCTCCATTTTTGAGGCTACCGCTGGAAGAAAGATCTGCAAGGAAAAGAAACGGGGTCTCACTTCAGGATGATGCCCAGTGAACGGCTCTCGTTTCATAACATCTTTGACTTTCCTTCTTGTTTTTGAAGAAAAAGGAGAGTCGGATGAGCCGCAGCAACCCATCTGCAGCTCGCCCTGAAGACGTGCACAGCTCAGTTCCTGCAGCGCAGAGGAAAGGCCTTCATCTCCATAAAGGAGTGATGCACCCCTAAGTGAGCTGAGCACAGCCCCAGGGCGAGGGGAAGAGCCCGGCTCAGCTCTGGTGGAGCAGCACCGCTCTGTAGAACCGGTTGCTGGGCAATTACCACCAGGCACTAATTGCTGTTTTAGTGCTGGGTTTTAAGGTTACGCGTTCACCCAAGAGCAGGGTGTGAGGGCTGTCACAGGACAACCGCTTCAAGAGAGGAAAATCCATTGCAACACCAGAAACCGCTCACGGACTGCCTGAACAGAGCTGTGCTGGGACAAGGTTTGCAGGAAAGCCACAGCAGATGCCGCGTCAGGGCTTAAATCCAGCCTCCAAGGCTGCACACAGCCCAGCACTGCGCTGAGCAGCTCCTTTCCTTACGTGACCCCAGCACCAGCAGCACAGGCTTCTGGCTCACCCATAGGGATGAATGGAGGCATAGGGACGCATGGAGCCATAGGGACGCATGGAGCCATAGGGACGCATGGAGTCATAGGGACGCATGCAGCCATAGGGACGCATGCAGTCATAGGGACGCATAAAGCCATAGGGACGCATGAAGCCATAGGGACGCATGAAGCCATAGGGACACATGCAGCCATAGGGACACATGCAGCCATAGGGACACATGCAGCCATAGGGACGCATGCAGCCATAGGGACGCATAAAGCCATAGGGACGCATGAAGCCATAGGGACGCATGAAGCCATAGGGACGCATGAAGCCATAGGGACGCATGAAGCCATAGGGACGCATGCAGCCATAGGGACGCATGAAGCCATAGGGACACATGCAGCCATAGGGACACATGCAGCCATAGGGACGCATGCAGCCATAGGGACGCATGCAGCCATAGGGACACATAAAGCCACAGGGACACATAAAGCCATAGGGACACATGGAGCCATAGGGACACATGGAGCCATAGGGACACATAAAGCCATAGGGACGCATAAAGCCATAGGGACACATGCAGCCATAGGGACGCACGAAACCATAGGGACACATGAAACCATAGGGACACATGAAACCATAGGGACACGTGCAGCCATAGGGACGCATAAAGCCGTAGGGACGAACAGAGCCATAGGGACGCATGAAGCTATAGGGATGCATGCAGCCACAGGAAGGAACGGAGCCATAGGGACGATGGAGCCACAGGGACACATGGAGCCACAGGGACACATGGAGCCACAGGGACACATGGAACCACAGGGACACATGGAGCCACAGGGACACATGGAGCCACAGGGACACATGGAGCCATAGGGACACATGGAGCCACAGGGACACATGGAGCCACAGGGACACATGGAGCCATAGGGACACATGGAGCCACAGGGACACATGGAGCCACAGGGACACATGGAACCACAGGGACACATGGAACCATAGGGACACATGGAGCCACAGGGACACATGGAGCCACAGGGACACATGGAGCCATAGGGACATATGGAGCCACGGGGACGAACGGAGCCACAGGGACACATGGAGCCACAGGGACACATGGAGCCACAGGGACACATGGAGCCATAGGGACATATGGAGCCATAGGGACGATGGAGCCATAGGGACACATGGAGCCATAGGGACACATGCAGCCATAGGGACACATGGAGCCATAGGGATGCAAGGCAGCCAGAGGAAGAAACAGCAGAACTCAAAACTGCCCCAGTTGAGGGCTGAGATTCATTTCCCTGCAATGTGTGAGGCAGATTCAGGGTTAAGGGACACCGGGATGCAAGGCAGCCGTTCCTAATTCATGGCTCCAGCAGAGATCCTGGCTCCTGAACCCAACCCTATCAGCAAAACGCCGTCAGGGAGCATCCATCCCATGCCTGCAGATGGGATCCACGCAACCCAACCCATCTTAGAGCCCCGCGGCCCCGCTCAACGAGATGCTCTTTGATGGACGCTTCAGCTTTTGCTTTGAACTGCAAGAAAACACACCCAGGAAAGCACAAAGCCCTCATCCGATGCAAAGCAGGGAATGCTTCGCTCCATCTCGAGGTTCATCCCATAAAGGAGCGCAGGGCTGTGCCCTCAGGCTTTGCCTGGCTCCAGCACAACAAGAGAATCCAGTCACCAGAGCCGCTGTTTCCCACCCTGCTGCGCTTGGGTTTCACCAACTCGAGCGGCCGCTGACACCAGAAGCTCTGCTTTACCACGAGGATTTCAAAGCAAGCAAAGCGCTGCGCATGAATTCGCACCCACAGCCTGGGTTTCTCGGCGCTGTGGGGAAATCCCAACTCTCCAAAGGACTCCGGGGTGAAAGGGAGAAGCGTTGACACGTGTTGCAAAGAGAAATGTGCGCGTCAGTGCCACTGGCAGCGGCGTCACGAGACAAAGTCCAAGGCTGCACTCGGCCCTGCCATCGCCTGCGGCCACGGGCTTCGCTTTCCTGCCTGCACAGCGCCCAAAGGGGAGCGAATCCCAACCCGGGACCTCAACACCCAAAGGGGGGTGAAGATCGTGGAAGCACACAGGGTTGGGAAGGTCCTCAAAGATCACAGAAGTGTAGAACGGGTTGGAAGGGTCCTCAAAGGTTACAGAATTACAGAATGGGTTGGAAAGGTCCTCAAAGATCACAGAATGGATTGGGTTGGATGGGTTGGAAAGGTCCTCAAAGATCACAGAAGTATAGAACGGGTTGGAAGGATCCTCAAAGGTTACAGAATTACAGCATGGGTTGGAAGGGTCCTTAAAGATCACAGAATTACAGAATGGGTTGGAAGGGTCCTCAAAAATCACAACATTACAGAATGGGTTGGATGGGTCCTCAAAGATCACAGAATGGATTGGGTTGGATGGGTTGGAAAGGTCCTCAAAGATCACAAAAGTATAGAACGGGTTGGAAGGGTCCTCAAAGATTATAAAAATTACAGAATGGGTTGGAAGGGTCCTTAAAGATCACAGAATTACAGAATGGGTTGGAAGGGTCCTCAAAAATCACAGAATAGATCGGATTGGAAAGGTTCTCCTCAGAGATCACAGAATCACAAAATGGGTTAAAAGGGTCCTCAAAGATCACAGACCAGGTTGGGTTGGAAAGGTCCTCAAAGGTCACAGAATGGGCTGGAAGGGTCCTCAAAGGTCACAGAATTACAGAATGGGTTAAAAGGGTCCTCAAAGGTCACAGACCAGGCTGGGTTGGAAAGGTCCTCAAAGGTCACAGAATGGGCTGGAAGGGTCCTCAAAGGTCACAGAATGGGCTGGAAGGGTCCTCAAAGGTCACAGAATGAGTTGGGTCAGAAGGGTCCTCCAAGATCACAGAATCACAGAAGGGGTGAAAAGGGTCCTCAAAGATCACAGCGCGGTTGGAAGAGACCTCAGAGCACAGGGAGACGAATGCTTTGGCCCAGCAGCGCCTGCTGGCACCGCACAGGGGACACGGGCCGCCCGTGCTCACTGCGCTGCCTCACACTCCCCTTTTAGCCACAGCAGGGCTGAGCCGTGCTCGGAGAGCTGCACACACAACATCCCACCATGCACACAGCTTAAAAACAAGTGGAAAGGCGAGGCAGCCTGCACAGAAACCCACAGACGCCCAACAGTAAATAAGGAACAGTGGGATCAGACTTTAAATGTGGTTGCTGCCATCCAGCACAACCATTCGCCACCTTCTTGGGCCTCTCAAGCAGTGGGATCTGATTCACAGCTTGCCCACTGCCATCCAGCACAACCACGCTCCCCTTTTTGGGGTCCCAAGCACAGAACTTTGGCTGCAATTCACCTGGATCTCCCCATTTCCAGGTGAGCCCCCAGCACAAAGGCTTCCCAAGCCCAAAGGAACGTCCAAGCCAACACCACAAGCCTGGTTCCCAAGGGGCCATGCAGACAATCCAGGCCTCCCCAAAAGGGCCAACAAAGCAACACAGGAACCAGCAGGCTCCACCTGAGAGCTGGGAATTGCTGCTGAGCTGCTCACACACAGCCAACGAGTGCTTTTGAAGCATTTAAATGAATCAGCACAAGGCCACTCCGCTCACTCAAACTCACTCCTGCCTTGCAGGCACGTTCTCTGATGCTCAGCATGCATAATGCCACAGATCTGCCCTAAACCAGCTGCAGTCAGTCCCAAACCCTGCACAGCACCGTGCTTGGAGGGTAAACAGCAATTTTCTGCAGCAGGAACACCTAACAATGCCTCTGAGAGCGAGTTTGTTCCCATTTGAAAGCAAGACAATACCTGGGCATGGCAGCTGTGCAGCTGATGGAAACCTGAAGGTGACAGGAGGGCAAAGCCGGGTGCTGCGACAGCTTCTGCGAGGGGAGAAGTCCTGGTGTTAAGGGACGGGCCTTAAAGGTCACAGAACCATGGGATGGTTGGGATGGTTGGGTTGGAAAGGACCTTGAAGATCACAAAACCATGGGATGGTTGGGTTGGAAAGGACCTTAAAGATCACAGAACCATGGGATGGTTGGGTTGGAAAGGACCTTAAAGATCACAGAACCATGGGATGGTTGGGTTGGAAAGGACCTTAAAGATCACAGAACCATAGGATGGTTGGGTTGGAAAGGACCTCAAAGATCACAGAACCAGGGGATGGTTGGGTTGGAAAGGACCTTAAAGATCACAGAATCAAGGGATGGTTGGGTTGGAAAGGACCTCAAAGACCACAGAACCACGGGACGGGTTTGGAAGGGTCATTAAGACTACAGCCACAGAATTACAGCCACGGTTGGGTTGAAAGGGAGCCCAAAGCCCCTCAGACCCAGTCCTGCAATGGGCCGAGTGCCCCCCATCAGCTCAGGCTGCCCCAGGCCCAAGCCACAGCTCCAACCAGCACAGCAGGAGGCCGTTCCACGCAGAGATGCTCTGCTGCTGGCACAGCCATCGCCCAGGTGAAGGAAGGAAGGAACACGGAGCGCATTTCTGCTCCTGCTGCCAAAGGGAGCGAAGCGAGCTCAGCGCCGGGCGCAGGTCAGCACGGCCCAGGAACGCCACAACCATCAATTAAGGGGGTTTGGAAAGATGTCAGGTTAACGAGTAACCCAACCTCAGCTGTCAGCCAGCACGGCCTTCCTGGCTCCCTCAGCAGCAAGGTGTGGGGGGAAGCGTCCTCGCGGGCACGCAGGGATCAGGATTACTCAACGCCGAAGCGTTCCAGCTCCTCCGTACCACGGAGAGAACGGCTCCGTTGGTAATAAAACAGCTCGTGTGCCAGCTCTGGGCACCCCAGACGACTCAGAGCTCATGGAATCGCACAGCAAAAGCCACAAGCCGGCGTTAACGGCGCTGAAAGAGGTCCAAGTCATCCCCAGGAATCCAGCTGAGGTTCTGAAGGAGTCAGGAATTCCCTGCTTGGGCTTCCAGCCGCCCAAATAACCAAGGCAGGCTGCTGGGAACGGAACGCTGATGCGGTTTGGGGTCGATAAAGCCATTTGTTAATGGGGGCTGAGCAGAGCCACCTCCAGATGGGTAGAGATGGGGAGGAACGGAGCTGCCGCGCCGTGAAACACGCGTTCAGTGCAAGCAGGGCGCACGCACAGCCACAAAACACAGCCAGGGACACCGAGCTGAACCCCTGCACCCATTCTGCAGCACAAACGCACTTCTCTACGACGGGGCAGCGCTCAGAGCAAGCTGCTATTCACCTGCAGCAGGGCTGCACCCCAGCGAGCCACCGCCTGCTCCCCCCCAAACTGTCCATGCTCACGGCTGCAACCCCCCAGCATCGCTCCGTTCCCCAGATCCATCTGCAATCACCAGTTTTGCTCCTGTCCACGCCAAAGCAGCACGGCTTGCAGAACCACCGCCTTCCCCGCCAGCAGCTGCTGGTGCGTTCGTTCCTACCTGGAGCTGCCAGTTTCCTTCAGCTGGGATCTCTGAGGAAAACCCAGCCTGAGCTCCTGCAGCTGCTGCTGCTCCTCCTGCACGCGGCTGCAGTCAGAGCACGGGGCTCCAGGAGCTGAGGTGGGAAGGGCGAGCCAAGGTCAGAGCCCAACCAGCAGATAAAAAAGAGCCAGGGCGTAAAGAAAACATGTGAAAAATGTGAAAAATGCCGCGTGCTTCGCTGGTTCAGTCTGTTCTGAGCAGGAAAACCACGTTCCGTTCAGCAGAGCTGTCACACCGAGAGCCGCTGCTCCCCGCGGGCTCAGGGGAGGACGTTCCCTTCACATCAGAGAGCTGGAAGCCATCCTGGGCCCCATGCTGGGATCGCCGCAGGGACAACGCGCCGTCCAGCTGTGGGTGCAGCTCCCCCCTCCTGCACAGCACAGAGGTTGAGATATTCCTAACGAAGCGACCCACGAGAGCAGCGCTGCGCCGCATGAAGGCTGCTGGAGAGCAGCAGCGCTCTGCAAATTCACCTTCTGCTCTCCTCGGGCTCCGCAAATAGTTGGAATTTCCCTCTTGGAGCACAGCAGCGATCCTCTGCAACTCCACCAACAGCCAGCTGGCAACGCGGGCCGTGTTTGTAAACCCACACATCTCCGAGCAGCCATCAGCAGCCGCGGCTTTGGTGGAACGTGAGATGGGCTGCAGGGAGCTCTGCCTTCCAGGACAGCGTTGGATGCACGCAGGGAGAAGCAGGACGAGGCACAGGAGCTCCTGAGTCCCAAACAAAGCCCACATCACAGCCCTCCCCACTCACCCTTATCTGCCTGGGGCTCCCATCGACCTCCTGCCTGCAGGGGGCTGCAGGGCACGGCCTGGGGGGGGGGGGGCGCTCCGGAGGGACGCGTGGCTCTGTGGGGTGAGGAGCTGCAGCACGAAGGCCTGGGGTTGCCCTCTTCAATGCACAGGACAATATAAACACGCAGCCACGCTTCCGGAGGTCTCAGCACGTTGGTTATTTCACCCGTTTGGCTGCTCCCATTTTTGGGGTGCTGCTCCATAAAGCTGCCCACGAAACCCCAGACGTCTTGGTGACACCGAGCAGAGCCTTCCTCCTGCTTCTCCCAACTCAGGGAACGTCGGTGAGCTGCAAAGCACCGGCACCAGGCACAGGGTCGGGTCATCGGAGCACCAGGCAGGCGACCTCAGCCCATCGCTGCTCCTTTTAGTGCTGCTTTGTTCTCTTCAAGCAGAAAACCAACCCCAAAAAACCACTCGTGCTTCTCCTCGGCATCGATTTCTTCCAGCTTCCTCCTCCCGATAAGCAAACAGGCAGCCCCAGCCCCGCGCCTCTGGGCTGCCAGCAGCAGGATGAGTCCCTCCACGTCTCCTCTGCTACGCAGCAAAGCGAGGCCGTTCCAAACTGCAGCCAGCAAAGATTCCACCAGCAGCCCAGGGCTTGGGGAAGAGCGCAGGGGAGATTTAAGAGCCGCTTCCATCAGGACCCGATCCCATCCGCGCACCTCTATCTCTGTTATTAAACATTAAAGCTGGCAGACAACAATTAAATTAAGCTGACACGACGCTGTAAAAGACTGTTTAATTGCAGAAGCGCCCAAGTTCGTTTAAACATGTAATTAGTTAATTATGTGCGTACGGGTTTAACGTTATTCGGATTTTTCGAGCGCGCCGTTCACTTGTGTGGGTGTTTTTATCCAGCACGGCTCCCTGAAACTGGCTGCAGTGATAGGATGGGTTGGAAAGGTCCTTAAAGAGCGTAAATGCGTGGAGAGATAGAATGGGTTGGGTTGGAAAGGTCCTCAAAGATCATAGAGTAATAGAATGGGTTGGGTTGGAAGGGTCTTCAAAGATCACAGAACCACAGAATGGGTTGGAAAGGTCCTCAAAGATCATAGAGTAATAGAATGGGTTGGGTTGGAAAGGTCCTCAAAGGTCACAGAACCACAGAATGGGTTGGAAAGGTCCTCAAAGATCATAGAGTAATAGAATGGGTTGGGTTGGAAGGGTCCTCAAAGGTCACAGAACCACGGAATGAGTTGGAAAGGACCTCAAAGATCATAGAATAGTAGAATGGGTTGGGTTGGAAGGGTCCTTAAAGATCACAGAAACACAGAATGGGTTGGAAAGGACCTCAAAGATCACAGAATAGGTTGGAAAAGACCTTAAAGACCAAAAATGCATGGAGTGATAAAACGGGTTGGGTTGGAAAGGTCCTCAAAGATCATAGAATCATAGAATGGCTTGGGTTGGAAAGGTCCTCAAAGATCAAAGAACAGGTTGGAAAAGACCTTAAAGACCAAAAATGCACAGAGTTATAGAATGGATTGGGTTGGAAGGGACCTCTGAAGACCAGAAAGCCAAGGAGAGATTGAATGGATTGGGCTGAAAGGGTCCTCAAAGGTCTCAGAACCATGGAATGGGTTGGAAGGGTCCTCAAAGGTCACAGAACCATGGAATGGGTTGGAAGGGTCCTCAAAGGTCCCAGAACCATGGAATGGGTTGGAAGGGTCCTCAAAGGTCACAGAACCATGGAATGGGTTGGAAGGGTCCTCAAAGGTCTCAGAACCATGGAATGGGTTGGAAGGGTCCTCAAAGGTCACAGAACCATGGAATGGGTTGGAAGGGTCCTCAAAGGTCCCAGAACCATGGAATGGGTTGGAAGGGTCCTCAAAGGTCACAGAACCATGGAATGGGTTGGGTTGAATGGATCCTTAAAGGTCACAGAACCACGGGATCAGAGCATGATCAAATTGCTAGGACCCCAACGTCCCCCCAGCCCCACCTCTGCCCCCCACCAGCTCAGCCTGGCTCCCATCTCTGCAGGGACGGAGCTCTGGTCCTCATCCCCCTGGATAAAGAATTCCCTCCTCACACCCAACCTCAATCTCCTCTCTTTGAGCTTCAAACCATCCCCCCTTGTCCTGTTAGGAGCCCCGCCGTTCCAGGGGCAGACAGGGATGGGAAAAGGGCGAATTGTTTTCCACCACCGCCCGCGAGCACAGAACGCTGCCACCAAACGCCTGCTTGTTTTTCTCTTTGGTGACTTCACACGCAAAGCAAACCACAACGGAACCAAACATTCCACCAGTGCAAAGGAGGAACCACGTGAGCTCCGAGCCAACCCCCAACAGATCGAGGAGGAAGAAATAAAAGTGAGAATCGCAGCTCAGAGCGAATTGCCGAGGGAAATCCAGACATGGGAGGAAGAAGCAGCAAGAACTGGGAGCAGTGTGCTAAAGGAAAGCCAGGATTCTCTCCCAGCACACCAACTTTCCTGCTGGGCACATCCTGAATTGAGGAAAAGCAGCCACGAGGAAAGGGGCCATCAGGGTTTGCTGCGCTCACCGCGTTTATTTACGTGCGCTGGGACAGCAATAAGGAAAAGCAAAGAGCTCCAACGGCAGCGGCTCCTCCTGCCAAAGGTTCCATTTCTGCATCCACAGGAGAGGTTTGGAGCAGGAAGAGCTCGAGGAGATTCCCAACAGGAAGGCAGACACAAACGTCCCCGATCCCAAACACAGCTTCCCATTTCCGGGAACGAACGCGCGGGGTTTCGGGTTGCAGGATATTCGACGCTGTTCTCATCGCTGCCCAAAGTTCCTGTTTTGGTTTTTTTTTCGGAGCTGCTCTGCGTCTCCCTGGATCCTTGTCGCCCGTTCTGGCGGAGCCTGAGCTCGTTAAGGGAGGGGATTAATTAGCAGCGGAGCGCATCCCGAAGCGACAGACCCTTCCATAGGCAGGAGCGGAGCGCAGGGATTGAACACGGAGCTGAAAGGTGGGAAATCAGCCCACGGTTTTTGGATCTGCTGGCTTTGTGATGGGAGCTGACAGCAGCACTTCGCCTGCTGAGCCCACACAACCGGCGTCAGGTCCTTCCAGCGGCACCAAACCCCTTTTGTCACCGCAAATCCCAGCGGCGTCGCATCCTCCATCATCGCGGGGCCTCCTCCAGCCCAGGCAGGAAAGTCGTGGCCACGGAAAAGTCAAACCTCCTGCAATGACTCCAGACCGTGCAGAGTGCAGAGCTCCTCCTCCACACAGCAGAGATGACCGCCGTCCTTACAGCCGGCCCTGCAGAAATGCTCCCAAACAGCTCCGAACCGGGTGGAAATTAAAGCACCGAGGAGTTAACGAAGCAGCAACGCACGGAGCGGGTCTGCCGCCCTGCAAACACAGCCTCCCGTGTGATGCATGCATGGGATACGTGCTAACGAGGGCTCCGCTTCGTTAGCTAACGGCCGGTCCCCTCCCTTAAAGCCACTCTTATCATCAGATAACGCAGCAGCAACAGTTACTCAGCCTCACGGTAATTACAGTAATTAGCACAGCCGGGGTGCAAAACAAACCAGGAAAGCCCCGTTTGGGTGCTGAGTGCTGCGTTTGCAGCAGGACGGGGCAGGGGCCCATTGCTGTCGTCTCACGGGGTTGTTTTACATCACGACAGCCCAACAGGAGCACAGCTCCCTCCAGATCAGCGCCTCGGGGTGGGAAATGCCAGCAGAAGGAGGGCTGAGCACGGAGCTTCGGCCTTGGGGATCACAGCAATCATTCGAGGTAACGAAACCCCATTTCCAGAACCACAACAAACAGCCAAAGTCGTCGCATCCGCCCCCAAAGCTGAAAGGAGGCAGGCAGGGCTGGGTGGAACGGCTCCAGCTGAGCCGGCACGCGGCACAGGGCCGCGGCATCTCCCAGCATCGCCGTGCTGCACACAAAACCCCGCCAGCATCCCCCCCTCAGGCTGCCTTAAACCGATGGCAAAAGGTTTTATGGAGAGCTGAGGACAAATCCCGACAGTGGGACGGCATTAAGGAGCTCTCAGAGGGGAAAAAACCCAGCGGAAAAGGGATACCTGCAGGTTTCTGGAGTTGTTTTGAAGCTTATAAAAGGTAAAAATAAAGAACGGTGAAATATTCAGGGAGAACACAGAGGGCAGAAGGATGTGATGGGGGTAAAGGGGGGCCTGCAACAAAACGGGGTTGTGGGGAGCCAAGAGGAGCAGCCCCACTGCTATAGGGCACAAAGCAATGGACGGAGGTGGATCCTTCAGGGAGGAGAATTAAGGGGTATTTGATGGATCCGTGCTGAAGAATTGGGATGTCAGCTGCCGGGATGGAATCGTTTGGGGGATGTGAGCTGCGCTGAGGAAATGGGGGACGTTTGGGGTGAAGGGAATGCGGGGGATTAAAGGATGGGGGCTGAAGAAATGGGGGATGCGGGGGAATGTCTGCATGGAGGGGATTGGGGGATGTAGGGTGAGGAGTGGGGGGAAGGGGGTGGAAATCTGGAGCCGCCAGCTGGGGAGGGTTTGGTTTAGAATGGGTCTGGGGGGGGGATATGGGCTGAACTGGGGGGGATCAGGGGGAGGAACGAATATGAGAGGGGGGAATTATGGGGAGGGGATCGGGGGGGGGGTTTGGGGGGATGTCAGAGGGGGAACTGGGGGGATCTGGTGGGCATCTGCTGAAGAAATGGCATGTACTGGGGCTGTTAATGGGGCTGGCTGTTACTGGGGTTGTGACTGGAGCTGCTCCTTACTGGGGCCGTTCTTGGGGCTGTTACTGGGACTGTTAGTTCTTGGGGCTGTTTGTTACTGGGACTGGCTGTTCTTGGGGCCGTTAGTGGGGTTGTTAGTGGGGCTGTTAGTTATTAGCACTGTTCTTGGGGCTGACTGTTAACTGGGGTTGTTCTTGGGGCTGTTCGTTACTGGGGCTGTTAGGTCTTAGCACTGTTTTGGGGGCTGTTATTAGCGCTGTTATTGGGGTTTTTCCTGAGGCTGTTAGTTATTGAGGCTCGCTGTTATTGGGGTTGTTAGTTGTTAGGGCTGTTATTGGGGCTGTTTGTTATTGGGGTTGCTCTTGGGGCTGGCCGTTCTTGGGGCTGTCTGTGACTGGGGTCGTTCTTGGGGCTGTCTGTTACCGGGGCCGTTTGTTATTGGGGTTGTTACTGGGCCCGTTAGTTCCTGGGCTGTCCTTAGCGCTGTTATTGGAGCCGTTTCTCGGGGTTCCGTGCCGTTAAGCGCAGGGCGGGGATTCGTGCTGACGAACGCGGGGATTTGCGAGAAATCAACGGCAAGAACTCCGGGATTCCCCCCCCCCTCCCCGTTCGGGATCCCTTCGATCCCGGCCGAAACCTTCGGAGCAACGGATGGCGGCGCCGCCGGCCGGACCCGGTGCCGCTCGGTTCTCCTCGCTCCGCCGCCTCCAGGCCCCGCCCCGCCGCCCCGATCCACCCCCGCTTCTTCCGCACGGCGCGGCCTCACGGCGGAGAACCCAACGGAGAACCGAAGGCACCGGGATCGCCCCGAACGCCTCCCCCCGGCCGCGGATCCCCCGAAGAACGGCCGGGTCCGGCGGGAGCCACTCACCGGCACCGCGGAGGCGGACGGAGGGAGAGGGACGCGAGGCGACGGCGGCTGTGAAGGCCTCGCCCGCCGCCGCTTCCTCCCGAGGGCCGCGGACAAAATGGCGGCGGCCGGAAGTGCCCCGCGCTCCGCCCCGCCCCGCGCCCCGCACTCTGCGCACCGCCCCGCGCCGACGGCGCAGCCCCGAGGGCCGCCGTACGCCAACGGCGTAGCGATAGGCCGCGCCGCGCGCCCCCCGCGCCCGCTCACCCCGCTTCGGCGCTGCACAAACGGCGCGGAGGGGGGGGTTACGCAGTTAGCGGAGCGCTCAAGGGGAGGGGCGGGAGGAACGGGCGCGGCACCGGAGCTCCGTTCGGCGCTCGGAGCTCATTTCGGCGCTCGGGGAGCCGCGGGTCCCGCCCCGAAACCGCCTTCTCCCATAAACAGCGAAGTGCGCACTTTGCGTGGAGGCGTGAAGAATACGGCCTACGCAGGCGGCGCGTGACCCTCGCTACGCCGTTGGCGCAGCGCGTCCCGCGCCTCGCGCCCCTCGCTACGCCGTTGGCGCAACGCGCCCCGACCTCCGCCCGCACTTTGCGTAGCGCTCCCTGACGCAGCGGCCGCGTTACGCAATGCGGGCTACGCCAGCGGGGCGACGTAAGCGCGGATGTGAATAGCGTAACCCCCCCCCTTACGCCCAACCCCAGGCCGCCGCCGCCGCGCCCCTCGCGTTAGGCCCGAGCTCACCTCAGGCGGCGAAGGCGCCGCTCCTGGCCCGGCCGAGCCGCCCTCCCGCCGCCGGGACCCGGGAGGCGTCGCGGAGCGGTCGGGGAGGAGGAGGAGGGGGGCGGGGGGAGCGGCTCCGAGGGGCAGCGGTCCGGCAGCGGCGCCGCACTGACCTCACCGCGCTGCAGCGACGTCACGGCGCCGCCGCGCCACGCCCACACGGGGAGCAAGCCACGCCCACAAGGCAGGCGAGCCACGCCCACAGTCGATAAGTCACGCCCCTTCGCGTGACGTCACGGGGCGGGGGAAAAGTGGGGCGGGGCGAAGCGGGAAAGGGCGGGAAATGCGGTGCGGTGGAGGGAAAAGCGGGGTTCGGGAACGGGGGGAGGAAACGCAGTGCAAAGGGGGGGCAGGGTGCGATAAATGGGGGGGGGCAGTGCATGGGGAGAGCTGCAGCGCAATGCACGGCGGGGTGAATGGGGTGCAATGCACGGGGGAGAATGAGGTGCAGCGCATGGGATGGATGGGATGCAATGCACTGGGAGTGAATGGGGTGCAATGCACGGGGGGTGAATGCGATGCAGTGCATGGGGGGAACCGCAGTGCAATGCATGGGGGAAGTGGGTTGCAATGCATGGAGGGGAACGGAATTCTAGTGCATGGGGAGAAGGGGGTGTAGGGCATGGAGGGGAGGGGGAATCCCCCTCCAGAGGGCGGAGGAAGGGCAGCAGCAGCTCAGGTCCTGCGGGAATGGGGGATTTTCACCATACGGGGCGATTTTCAGAGGGAAAAACCGCCGCCAGCAGACGGTGCCACAGAGGAGCCGAGCTGAGGCGGGAAGTTGACAGGGCGCCGCCATTAGGCCGAGTTCTCGCGAGAGCTCCCGAGAAGACGCGCGCGGGAGCAGCACTGGCGGCCGCCATTTCCTGCAATGACAGGAGGCGCCGTTCTCGCGAGAGCTCCCCAAGTGCGCGGCGATCACTTTCTCGCGAGAGTTCACGAAGAGTGAGGGTGGGGCGGCACTCTCGCGAGATTTTTTTTTTTTTGGGACGGGGGGGGGGAGTTGAGGGGCGCGGGCGCCATTTTCTCCGCCGTCAGGAGGAGGCGCTGAGGAGCGGGCGGGACTGAAGGCGGCAAAGAAAAACCGAGGGGTGCGACGAAAGGAGGCCGACTGAGACAGGGGAGCGGAGGAAGGACGGGAGAGAACCGCAGCCTGGCGGCCATCGGGCTGCTTCAGCGCCTCCAGGCGGGAGGAGGCGCTGGGAGGGGAATAAAGCAGCGCCCTGTGGGGCAGCAGCCGCGGGTTCAAACAGGCAGCGTTAAAAGCGACTGTCAGCCTTGAGGAAGAGCCCCAGGCACAACGCAGGAAGCAAAAATAAAGCGCCCTTCCTGCTGGGAAGCCACAGCCCGAGGAGTTTTCCAGGTCTTGCTGCTGATGGAACCCCGAGGGGGGCAGGAGGTGGTTTTCATCCATCAGTGCAGGAATTGCTGTTGTGATGGGAGCTCTGCATCCCCCAGCACACAGACACGGATCTTCATGGATCTCTGTAGAACAGATCCCTGCACGGCGACCATCGCTTCCTGCTGCCCAATCTCTCCTCTTTACCGGTGTCCAGCAGGAGATCGCGGAGCTCTGCAGACAGGGCTGCACCCTGGACGTCATCTGAAGCTTCTCCCACCAGAATCGTGCGATTCTATGAGCATTGGAAGGGATCAGGGTGCTGTGCATCAGCTCTCCCACAAACCAGCCATCCTCATCCGTGTCTCCAAGGAGACAAATGCTTTCTTCAGCCCAGCCCAGCAGCCCGGCTCGTTGTCTTGAGTTCTCATTAGGGCCTGAAAAGGATTGTTGCTACAACAAGATAAGAACCTTGGAACTATTGGAGATTGCAGGTTGCTGATGACCATCTCTCGCATAGGGTGTAAAGGAAGGGCTCTCAGGCAACGTGAACACAGCAGACCTTTTGGGAAGTGTCCCTGCGGTGCTTCCACACTGACGGACACCTCAAGTCCACCCTGCAAGCTGCAGCTCCTGGCTCTTCAGCTCTGGCTTTTGAAAGGAAGAGATGCATGCTCACCTCAGTTTCTCTTAACCAGCTCTTATATCCTTGCTGCTGGATACCTGGAGGGCGTTCACCGTAATGGAACAAAAACAGAGTCCTTCCTCACAGGCGCCTGCAGACTTTGCGTACCAAAACTGTGTATAGAGTGGAGAGTGGGGGTTCTCAGGCAGCATGAACTCCACAAACCTTTTGGGAAGCATTGGGGGGACACCAGGAAGGCGGTACGGGACGGAGCTCTCGTGAAGAATCTTCCTGAGCAGAAAGAAATTAACGCCCGAGCTGCAGTGCAGTATGAATGCATGATCTGGGTGAGTGGAAACAATTTATAACTGTGATGAGGTCAGTGCTGTGGGCACATCTTCATCCATTATTTATTTTTTTTATTCAAGCTTTCATTTCAAGACCACGTGAACAGCATCAAGCTCGGAATTATGGCGGTTACAGCAGCTTGTGAAGAGCTGAAGGAGACTGAAGGGTTTGGGAAGCTTTTAGGTGTTCCTTGGAAACGATGCAACTGTTGGCAGCAGAAATGAGCAGCCCCGTGGTTTTAACAAGAACCTCGTGGTTCTTTGCAAGGTTACAGACATGAAATCAGCAGATCAGAAGAGAACCTCACTGCGTCTGCTGGCTGAAGTCTGCGAGGAGAATTCCAGAGGCATCTTAACCTTCACAGATGATCTGCAGCACGTTGAGGGCGCGGGTAAAGCTTCAGACAAAGCTCTGAAGAGCGATAAACGAGCAAACAAGGAGTGACAATTTCCCTGAAACAGAAGATGAGCGTGGTAAGTCTGTAGAGATGAGCGTCTCTGCTGAGGGTGCGTGTGAGCAGTGTGAGAAAAGGTCCAAAATGCACAACAGCACCATGAAATTGTATGGGAGTCACGTTTGGTGCCATAGGGTGCCCTGGGAGGCCCTGGGGGGAGCACTGGGGAGGCACCAGAGCTCTGGGAGGAGGATTGTGGGACGGTGCCAGCTGCTCTCTGCCTCTGAATAATCCTTGCGGGTTCTTCGCTGGGGAGTGCTGCTGCTTTCCTGCTGTTGGGCATCGCGTGGTTTCGATCCGTTCCCTATCACTGCTGGGAAAGCAACAGCAGCAAAAGCGTCAAACAACAGCAAAGAAAGCGCTGGGACTGAAAAGGTGGAAACAAAACCTGCGCCACTGCGCAGACGTAAATGAAACGGGACAGGGAAGAGATGTGGCTTAGCCACAATAAATAAATCACTGGGGACAGATCCAATAAATCGCAAGGGAAAATAAAGGAGAGCTTGGAGCAGCTGGGTGTCCCCGTGCCATCCCACCCCCTGTACCAGCTGAGGCTCTGCGCCTCGCTGTGCTGCATGGAAGGCTGCAACCGAGTGGAAGTTGCTGGATGTTGTGTTGAGGGACACGGTTTAGTGGGAGCTGTTGGGAATAGGTGAACGGTTGGACTGGATGAGCTTTGAGGTCTTTTCCAACCTTGGTGATTCTATGATTCTGTGAAGAGCAAACGCCCTCAGAGCTGAGATCCGTACGTTTAATACCGCGCGCTCCTCGAAACATCACAGCCACCGTTCACAAAACATGAGAACCACCACCTCGCATCGCTCCCGGCTTCGCAGCCCGGCACCGAACCGAAGGAACGACCTCGTCTGTGCTCCACAAAAACACGACGCCGTTCCTCAACGCGCCGCCGCTGCTCCGCGTGGGTTCCTCAAACCGCAGCGCCGCGTGGTTGACCGATCCCCAATAAATCGGCCGAGGGTTTGGTCCTACAGGATGGAATGCTTCTCAAAGGGCACCGTCAGCTCTTTGGCTGCTGCCTCATCCAGGAACCACAGCAGCTGCCCTGTGTGTGGCCGGACGCGGGCGGCAGGGAGGAGGTTTTCCTCATTGCCTTCTAAAATGCGCTGTTGGATGAAACAGAGGAGTTGTCACAAAAGAGAAGCGCAAAGCTCCATCCCAGCCCCATCCCAAAACACCTCCATTGCACCACAGAGGAGTTACTAAGAAAGAGAACCACAAAGCTTCGTCCCAACCCCATCCCAAAACGATTCCATTTCACCACAGAGGAGTTACAACGAAAGAGAACCGCAAAGCTCCATCCCAGCCCCATCCCAAAACAGCTCCATTTCACCACAGTTACAACAAAAGAGAACCGCAAAGCACCGTCCCAACCCCATCCCAAAACACCTCCATTGCACCACAGAGGAGTTACTAAGAAAGGAGTTACTACGAAAGGAGTTATTCCATCCCAAAACGACTCCATTTCATCACAGAGGAGTTACAAAGAAACATAACCACAAAGCTCCATCCCAACCCCATCCCAAAACACCTCCATTTCACCACAGAGGAGTTACAATGAAAGAGAACCACAAAGCTCCATTCCAACCCCATCCCAAAACAGCTCCATTTCACCACAGTTACAACGAAAGAGAACCACAAAGCTCCATCCCAACCCCATCCCAGAACAGCTCCATTTCACCACAGAGGAGTTACAAGGAAACAGAACCGCAAAGCTCCGTCCCAACCCCATCCCAAAACAGCTCCATTTCACCATAGAGTTACAACAAAAGAGAACCACAAAGCTGCATCCCAACCCCATCCCAAAACGATTCCATTTCACCACAGAGGAGTTACAAAGAAACAGAACCCCAAAGCTCCGTCCCAACCCCATCCCAAAACACCTCTGTGCCACCACAGCGCAATCAGATCCTTGCAGGGGGCAGCAAAGCTTTTCCCCACAGAGTCCCCAACCTTTAGGACGGCGGCTTTGCCCTCCCCCGTGGCCACAAACACCACGGCGCGTGCGGCGTTCAGCACTGGGAGGGTCAACGTCACGCGCTCCGGCGGCGGCTTTGGGGAATCGGTGATAGCAGCCACGATTTTCTCTTTCTCCTATCAAAATTAATTTAAACCGATGGATTAAAAACTAAATTGGAACAAAGTAAAGGGAGAAGGCGGAGCTGCTTAACCCCAATTTCCTCCCCCCCACTCCAACTCACCTGCAGTAGGGGGTGGTTGGGGAACAGGGAGCAGGTGTGGCCATCCGGCCCCAGGCCCAGGAGCAGCAGGTCAAAGACGGGCACAGCATCGCCGTGGAAGGCCTGGGGGGAACAAGGGGGGGAGGTTGTGGGGGGAGCTCCCCAAATCCTGAGGGAAGGAATCCCTCAAATCCTGGGGGGAGGAGAGGGGTTCACCAAATCCTGAGGGAAAGGGGGGGGGTGGGAGCTTCCCAGGTCCTGGGGGGGGAGGGAAATGGGGAGAGGAGAGTCTTCCAAATCCTGGGGGAGGGGGAGAGTCCCCCAGATAAATTCTGGAGGATGGAAGGGTCCCCCAAATCCTGGGGGGAGGAGAGGGGTTCACCAAATCCTGAGGGAAAGGGAGGGGGTGGGAGCTTCCCAGGTCCTGGGGGGGGGGAGGGAAATGGGGAGAGGAAAGTCTTCCAAATCCTGGAAGGGGGAAGATGGGGGAGTCCCCCAAATAAATCCTGGAGGGTGGAAGGGTCTCCCAAATCCTGGGGAGGGATGGAGGTGTCCCCCAAAATAAATCCTGGGGGGTAGAAGGGAGGGAAAAAGTCCCCCAAATCCTGGGGGAAACAGGGGGGTTGTGGTGGGGGGGTGTCCCCCAGATCTTGGAGGAAGGAGGAGAGGAGATTCTCCCAAATCCTGGGGAAGGATGTCCTTGTGTTGGGGACCCGCAGCTCCTGGCAGAGGGAAAGGTATGGGGGGAGGGGGGAGGGGGATTCCAGCTCCTCATATAGGGGAGGAAAAAGATGGGGGGAGCCGCTCCTCATATAGGGGAGGGGGGATCCCAGCTCCTCACACGGGGAAGGAAGGGGGGGGGGTCCTGCCTCCTCGTGAAGCCCCCCGTTTCCTCTTCCGCCCTCGCCTCCCTTCCCCCTCCTCACCTCCCCTCGCCCCCCCTCCCCCACCCCACCTCCCCTCGCCTCCGCTCCCCCCCCCTCTCCTCGCCCCCTCCCCCCTCCCCTCCCCTCGCCCCCCTCCCCTCCCCGGTACCTCTCGCAGCCTCTCGGCATAATCCGCCGCCGCGGCGTTCGGAGAGAGCCCGTGAGCGACAGCGAGGACCGTCGGGGCTGGTGCCGGGAGCCGCGGCAGCAGCTGAGCCCGGTACGCCCCGAAGGTGCTCTCCGGGTGCTCGGGGGGCACCAGGCGCTCGTCGCAGAAGGCCAAGAGCCACGGGCCCGACCCGTTGGCGGCTCCGGTGGAGGCGGCTGAGGGCAGCTCCCGGGCCAGGAGCCCCACCAGGCTGCCTCCGGACAGACCCAGAGAGAAGCGGCCGCCGCTCCCGGCCGCCCGCTGCACGACGAGCTGCGCCAGGGCCGAGCCCAGCTCCTGCGGGGACGGGAACACCGAGATGCGGCCCGGCATGGCGGCGGCCGGAAGTGGGGAGCGGAGGCCGGATGTGACGTCACAGCGGGAGGCGGAAGTGGGGGGGGAGCGCGCCGAAGGCGGCTTCGGAAAGAAATGCGGAAGTGCTGCGCGTTGCCTAGCAACCTGCGGCCTAGTCGAGGGCTGAGGCCTGGGCCTTGCGTGAGGGCTTCAGCCCCGCGCCCGCAGCCTCAGCCCGGCTCACCTTCGGCGAGAAGCAGTGGACGGAAACGCTGCGTGCAGCCATCCTTCTGTGTTAACTCTCGCCTGGCTCCCGTGCCCCCCCAAGCAATGAAAACACATCACAGCTCGCTCAGCAGCACTCATTAACATTTCCTCACTCACAGCACGGCTGCCCTCCATCCACCTCCCTGCACCCCAAAGCCTGCTCCGAGCTCAGAGGCCTCAACCCCTCATGTCCGTAACTCCCAGCCCCGAGGGCTCGGCACGTGTGAGATTTCCAGGCGTCGTTAAGGTAAAAACCGTGACCTAACGCAATTAAAGACTGCTCTGTTAAAAGCCTAACTCATTAAGTACAGCCCGCAGCCGGAGCACAAACAAACCCGCCGTAAAAGTCACCACAGAACCTCTGCCACGACAGCAGAGCAGCGGGGAGCAGTCACAAAAAGCCCTCTATCAGCGCGGCAGCGGGTTAATGGGTCAGTGCTGGCTGGTTAATGTGCTTTAGGTGAGGGCGACACCCCGAGGGGGGTTTCCCTGCTGGTGCTTTCACTGTCGGAGGGTCTCACGTTGCGTATCAGCTTCGCACAAGCCTCATCTTTCCAGTGAATCATCATTTTCCTCGCCGCCTTCTTCAAGGTTTGATCCAGGCTCGATTATAAGGCGACTTTCCCGGCGCAAATCCTGGCGTAAAGGCATTCGTCCAACGGAACGTATTTGCCCAGCTTTACATCCAGGAAATACAGCCGGTCCGATGTCTGGTGGGGGTCAAAGCCTTCCCTCTGCAGCCGGGTCTTCTGGATCTTAAAAGTGCCTTCAGAGAAGGGAGAAAGGAGAAAATGTTTTGAAGGAGACGCTTCGTATCCGAAACGCCGTGAGAGAAAAACGTCGCGTTTCGTTTCCAGTCAGATTTTTGCTTAAGAATTTGCAAATATTCTGTTTGCCACCGTGTTCCCATGGGAAGCTCGTGCAGTTTTTACTTCTCCGAAGACACGGAGTGGCTCTCGGGGTTCCCAGGAGATGGAAAAAACTCTGCGGATTCCC